CAGGTTTTGGAATGACTCCCGGTACAATTTCTGGTTTCCCCTGTGATCTAGAATCAACCTCATGTTCCTAAACCGCGTACAACGCGCCCATCGAGAACAATCTGGGCTTTATTATCTCATCTAGTCTTATCTTATCTTTGGTACAGAACATTCTCAAGACTAGCAAGAACCACAATGATGAATCAGATTAACCGTGTGAGGCGTGTTATTTTCAGCATAAGAGCGACGAAGGAGATTAAATTAAAAATTAAAATAAACACGCGTTCAAAATAACTATTTTACAATGCATCGTTTTTATCTCTGAAATCTGATTGTCATGTCATATATACACGTTATGATATATATATTAGTTTATTAGTTAACATGAACTAACAATGAAAAATACTTCTAAAGCATTTATTAATCTTAGTTCATATTAATTTCAACATTTGCTAGTTCTTTAAGAAAATCAAGTTGTATTTTTTTTTTTATTTAATGGACTTGAGCTAACATGAACTAACAATGAATAGTTGTATTTTTATTAACTAATTTTAAAGATTAATAAACATTGTAACAAGTATATTTCTCATTGTTAGTAAATGTTAATGAAGTGCAAAATGTTACCATTGTTTTTATAGAATTATACAGTTTTGAATTTTATATTTAATGTTATAGAAAAAATTAGTCATATCAAGTACCTAGATAATTATTTGTTTTTGTTTGTTTATATAATAATATATTTGTTTTATGATTTTTAATACCATAATCAAATGAAATATATTTGGTTTTAGCTTCAAATCCAATTAAGATGAAGTTTAAAGTAATTTGATTAGTTCTTTGTGATGCTATGCAAAAATGATCGTTTTTGTTGACATGCCATTTTTATTTTTTGATCGTAGAGTCAGTCTGGGAATTTCAGTATATTTAAATCTAATATGTTTGGATGGTTCTTCTATGACCGTTGTGTCGAGACGGATCCCACGCAAGATGGTCTGTGGACTCGTCGTGCAAATCTCTTCAATACTGAGTTGATCCTGTATGGCTGATAGACAGTCTGTCCCGCGATTAGCTCTGCTTTTCTCTTACACACACACACACACACACACACACACACACCTCGGCCCGCCTCATGCGTAGAAAGAGGGATTCTTTATAGTCATTAGATGTATGGCCACGGTTTTTTTTTTTTTGGTTGCTCGCTGGACTTCAGTTGGAGAGGAGGACTTCACAACTCAAACACAGATCCGACATGTGCCCTCTGGAGGCCAACACTGGAAATGCAAGGCCATTTTTGATGGTGGTGAAGTGCATTTTGGGATGCATAGGTGTTATTTACATTTTTGTATGGCCGATTTTGTCCCCACCACGCCAAAGATGACAGCAACAGATGATTCTTCTGTATCAACACAAGCAATTCAGTGTATGTTTATTATAATGAGTGGTGGAATTTGTAATGTTTTGCTGACTAATTGTTGAGGTTGATATCAATTGTCAAAAGTTACAATGTTCAGAGGAAATGTTCTTGTTCCGATCTGTCGTTATCTGTTCGGAAAATTCGCAAAACAAAATGCAAAGAAATGTGCTCCTGATTATTATTATTATTATTTTTTTATTTGTCTTCGCAGATTTAATTGACAATATTAAAGATAATATGATCAGGTATATTTGAAAGACTTTCATTAGATGTCAATAATTGGCATTGGATGTTTAGTGGCAAATATCTAATATATTATATTAATATTATATTTCTGTGGTCAGTAGCATGTATTTAACCCAGAATATGATTTTAAATACTGAAGTGTAATTGCACGTTTGGGGTCTGGTTGCAAAGTCTCTTATGAATACCATTTATTTGATCAAAAATACAGTAAAAACTAATAGTAATATTGTCAAATATTATTGCAGTTTAAAATAATATAATGTAAATAATAAATGTTTTCTATTGTAAAATACTTCAAAATATAATTTATTCCTGTGATCAAAGCTGAATTTTCTTCGGTGTCACATGATCCTTCAGAAATCAGTCTTATGCTTCGTTCATCTGTTGTCTCGATTATTTACCATGTCGTAATTACCGTAATTAACCATAACAACACGTAATGTTCAACGGTCAGGTGGTTCAAGTCGGAGCTCTCTGAAAATTCCCAGTTTACAAGTTGTAATTCTGAGTTCTACAAGGACGTGAATGCTTTTTACAAGTTGGAATCTTGTTTCTTGAGCCATCGTAATTGCCACAATTACATTATCAATGTTAAAAACAGTTGTGCTGCTTAATATTTGTGTGGAAAACCCTTTTCAGGATTCTTTGATGAATGGAAAGTTTTGAAATGGCATTGATTAGAATTCTTTAGTAACTTTAAAACAGTCTTTACCTTTCACTTTTGTTTCAATTTAACTCGTTAATAGCAAGGATGGATCAAAGTATTGACATAATCAGTAGTATTTTATACTTTATATGCATTTTCACATCTGAAAGAAATGCTCCAACATCATATAAAAGCAAGAGTCGGGATCTCCACACAAACCTATTTCTCTTTATCTTTTTATCTTTTTTTTTTCTTCTTTTTTTTTGGCAATGTCGTTACAGATTGTCTTGTTGTCACAAGCTTGTGGGATGAGTCTATATTTGTCTCTGTTAGTGCTGATAGCACTAATATCACATGATGGTCACAGAGTGTTGGGCTAATATTCTGCCTTTCTGCAGGGAAGTAAGAGAAAGATATGGGCTTGTTATCTAACATTCTTCAGCTGCGTACTTGCTGTAGGGATGCTTTCAGGGGTTCAGTTCTCATTCACAGCCAGTGTGTGTGTGTGTGTATATATATATATATATATATATATACCTGTTGCTGTATCAGAAACATTCACAGGACCTGGTATATCTAGACTAGATCTTCAAATGGCATTGTGAGAATGAGAGCGTTGCTTCTTCTTTGATAGTTTTTGCCACTTTTAATACGGTTTGAAATGATGAAAGTAACCAAGTCTCATTTGAGACACAATCAAAGTGTTTTTGAAGACTATTGTGTAGATTTCATATTCTTTTCTAGTGTCAGTGACACTGGTACTTGAGCAGTGTCTTTTGATATTAATTTGTGACTATATTATCATTTGTTACTGATATGGTGTGTGTATATATATTAGGGGTGGTTAATCTGTCTGATTTCCCGATTCGATTCGATTACGATTATTGAAGTCCCGATTCGATTACAGTCGATTTTCGATTATTAACGATTCTCGATTAGCGATTATTGATTTTCCATTTCACAACAGTAAATGAAAATACACTACAAAGTGATTGCAGTATTAAAAAAAGTATTTTATTGAGTAACAACAACTCAAAGCACTTTCTGTGTCGTGTATGTAGCTTATGTTCTGTAGAACATGAATACATCACATTGTGTTGTGACTCATTAAGTTGAACTAAACAATAACAAATAAATGAAAGGCTTATTTCCTTTAGGAAGTAGATCAGAACCAACATACTGTAGAAATTGGACAATTTTCTTCTAGAAAGACAAGGTGTTGTTCAGGTGGAGGAAGACTGCAGGTTGCAGTCGAAACATGTCAAGGTAAATAAAAAGTTTTTTCTCCACCTGAACACCTTGTCTTTCTAGAAGAAAATTGTCCGATTTAATCATTAAGAAGACAAAATGAACATTTTTGAACAGCTTACTGTAGCTTCAGCTTATATAGGCTACTGTAGCCTACTGTAGAACACAGTGACAAAACGCAACACACTAACTAGACAGGCCTTTATAATTTAGTGATATGTGGTTCTTTGAGTGTAGGCCTAGAGTCTCTAATCTCTAAAAATCTCCAAATGCTCGACGTGAAACTGCGGTCTTCCGTCCGACCTTTTACTATCGTGTCAATTGATTTTGATATGCGCGAGGGAGAGAGAGACCAAGACAGCGCTCGTGTTGTTTGAAGACGTGAGAGTGCGCGCGCGCGGCCAGGGCTCTCTCTCTCTCTCTCTCTCTCTCTCTCTCTCTCTCTCTCTCTCTCTGCTCGCGGCTGTCAAGCGCAGCAGTCATTTTTTTTCTACATCACTCACCGATCAAAAAAGGCTTTGGCGGGACAAAAATGTGCTTTGGTGGCCATATGAAACGTGTCATATGGCTTCTCATATTTGTCGTGTTTTCCGAAATATTTAAGTTTTATTCCACAAAGCTTACAAATAGTGTGGCTCTTGTCCAGCTCCTTTCCCCCCTTCAACTTCACAGAAGCCAAAATATTTCCACACGTCAGCTTTTAACGAGGAGGGTGTTTGGATATCGCGCTCAGTCATCGCGTCTCTGTTATGTGCACAACACAGACGGTCCGGGCACTGCACTGCACTTCCGCGCTTCAGAGTTCCGTCAATATATTACGTTATTATATATATATATATTTATTTATTTTGAAAATCGATTTTTGACATTTGCGAATCGATTCAGAATCGTCCACGTCCGCATCGCGATGCATCTAAGAATCGATTTTTCCCCCCACCCCTAATATATATATATATATATGTGTGTGTGTGTATAAATGTATCACGGTTTCCCAAAAATATGGAGCAGCACAACTGTTTCAACATTGATAATAAACAGAAATGTTTCTTGAGCAGAAAATCAGCATATTAGAATGATTTGTGAAGGATCATGTGACACTGAAGACTGGAGTAATGATGCTGAAAATTCAGCTTTGATCACAGGAATAAATTACATTTGAAAATATATTCAAATAGAAAACAGTTATTTTAAATTGTAATAATATTGCTGTTATTTTTTATCAAACAAATGCAGCCTCAGTGCATTTTGTTTAAAAAACATAAGAAAATCTTACTGACCTCAAACCTTTGAATGGATGGATGGAAAAATCTTGTGGGAAATCCATTGAATAAAACGCACACAAACTGCTCGATAATGAGAAGGATGTCATTGCCCAAAATATGAATGCTGTAGTTTGGTCATGAAAATATATTTATTACTTGTGTAAAGTCGATTTATTTAACTTTTTCTTCATTTGTGTCTTTACAGCTTTCTTGACCGGATTGATGCAGTAAGACAAAGCGACTATACACCAACAGACCAGGTACTGTTTGAGCTTTTTCAAAAACACACACCGTTGTAGATGAGAGACGGCCTGAGACGCTTTGTAAATGGCTCGCTCTTTATTTTCCAATAATTGTCCTAGCCTAACACTTTCTCTCAACCTTTCCTCTTTCAGGACTTGCTTCGCTGCAGAGTGTTAACATCAGGGATCTTTGAGACGCGATTTCAAGTAGACAAAGTCAACTTTCAGTGAGTTCACTTGCTTAAAAAGCTCCATAAAAACATATTAAAGATTGTATAGTGGAAATTACCGTAATTTTTGATAAGTGTTGCCATGTCTTCGTATGTCCACTAGAGGGACACATTTCACTTCCTATAAACCTCATGTCTCTGTTCTTCTCCTTCCAGTATGTTTGATGTAGGAGGTCAGAGAGACGAAAGAAGAAAATGGATTCAGTGTTTTAATGGTACATTAAGTGTGTGTGAATCTGAGTGTGTGAATTTATGCGTCTTACCACCAGTTGCACATACATGTTAAACAAGTGCCCATATTATGCTGTTTTAAAGTCTCCTACAACAGGTTTACACGCATCCAAGGTAAAAAAAAAACACGAGACGACTCGTTTCAGGGAGTTCAGAATGCGATTATTTCTTTTCAGAGGCAATATCTCCATTTATCTGCACTTTGATCTTTGTAACTTTGAAGACCTTTTACATTCACAAAAAGTCATATCACACACCACATGAAAGGTAATATCGGAAAAAGCATAATAGAGGCACTTTACTGTGTGATCTTTAACAATTTCACATTAACATACTTTGATATTTGAAGTACTCTAATGATATATTGAGTTGGAAGACTCGCGTGTGGTGCTGATTGGCTGTTTCTCTGCAGACGTCACAGCGATCATCTTTGTGGTAGCGAGCAGCAGCTACAACATGGTCATAAGGGAAGACAACAACACAAACAGGCTACGGGAAGCACTTGCTCTTTTTCGCAGTATCTGGAACAACAGGTGAAACCTTTATTTTCTCATTCCTTCTTTATTGCTCGTTTTTAAGTGCAAGTGCAAGCTTAACTGACCCCTCGGCTCTGTATTTTTTCCCCTTCTTTCTGCAGATGGTTACGAACAATTTCTGTCATATTGTTCCTTAACAAACAGGACATGCTGGCAGAGAAAGTATTAGCTGGGAAATCTAAAATTGAAGATTATTTCCCTGAATATACTTGTTACACCATACCAGATAAAGGTTAGACTTTTCACCCAGACACACACATCACTAAAGACCCAGAAGTTTTCATATAAGTGGGTAGTTGACAAATAATGTACATTTTTGGGTCAAAGGTGTATCATAAACGTAGTCCAAATGACTTGTGCACTATATGTGTGTGAGTTCGAGAGTTGAACTGAATCGACTGATTGATGTGCAGGTCAGTGTCGATTTCCCTGTGTGTTAATCTGTTGACTCTTCTATTTTAGTAACTCCTGAACCAGGTGAAGATCCCAAAGTGACAAGAGCCAAGTTTTTCATTCGTGACGAGTTTCTGGTTAGTATTTTTATTTGTCTATTGCAGTTTAGACTGATTCACTTTGTTGTGCTTTTTCCTAGCAAAGCATCTGATTATTATGAAATGATGGAGAAAAGCCCTGTTGATGGGCGGTTTATAGAAATCCACCAATCTATTTTACCAACATTTTTGACCACTGTTTACTCTTTTCTACACAAGCCACTTAATCCGGTAAACTGATAGTCGGTGCCATCTTGTGGACATCCGAAGAATAAAACATGCTGTTTACTTCATTTTCAGCATTAATCATCATCCACTCTCATTCTTTGGGTTCACTCAGTTGTGTAGTTCATGCATTTCAGGGTTTGATAAAAAAGCGAATAATTAATTAAATGGTAAAAGTATCAAATAAAAAACATGTTAAAAAACATAAATGAAAACAATAAAAATAAAACATGCTATAAAGATGATTTTTAAATATATATATATATATATATATATTAGGGCTGTCAAATGATTAATCACATCCAAAATAAAAGTTTTTTTACATAATATATGTGGGTGCACTGTGTATAATTATTTTGTATATATATAAATACACACACATGCATGTATATTTAAGAAAAAAATATAATTTATATATAAAATATTTATATTTATATATAATATAAATTATATATAAATCTATATACAGTATATACATGAAAATATTTCTTAAATATATACAAGCATGTGTGTGTATTTATATATATATAAAATAATTATACACAATGCACCCACATATATTATGTAAAAAAAAAACTTATTTTGGATGTGATTAATCATTTGACAGCCCTAATATATATATATATATATATTTTTTTTATACTAAAATGTATATACATTTAATAAATTCAATGAATCATCTGATAAAATTCTCATATATATGTCAACAAGTAGACACAGACCTGCTTCCTCTCGCTCACTCGTTTTATTTGCTCCAGGTGAATATTGTTGGTGTTACAGGGCTTGAATTTCAGCGAGGGATTTGCGCGTATTGCGCATAATTTTACTCATTCCCTCAGATCTTGTGCTCACACCCAAAGTGCGTAGCGTGAACATAAAGCCGCCTCTCGGCACTAAATTATTTATTTTTCGCTGCTTACTGCACTTAAACGGTCAAATATACACAAAATAATGTTAAAATAATAATAATAATTAATTATAATAATAATAATAATTCATTACATTTATATAGCGCTTTTCTTGGCACCCAAAGCGCTTTACATGGAAGGGGGGATCACCTCAACCACCACCAATGTGCAGCACCACCTGGATGATGCGACGGCAGCCATAGTGCGCCAGAACGCCCACCACACACCAGCTTACTGGTGGAGAGGAGACAGAGGGATGAAGCCAATTGGTATATATGGGGATGATTAGGAGGCCATGATGGACAGAGGCCACTGGGCAAATTTGGCCAGGATGCCGGGGTTACACCCCTACTCTTTCGAAAGACATCCTGGGATTTTTTTGTGACCACAGAGAGTCAGGGCCTCGGTTTAACGTCTCATCCGAAGGACGGTGCTCCTTGACAGTATAGTGTCCCCATTACTATACTGGGGCGTTAGGAACCACACAGACCACAGGGTGAGCGCCCCCTGCTGGCCTCACTAACACCTCTTCCAGCAACAACCAGGTTTTCTCAGAAGGTCTCCCATCCAGACCAGGCTCAGCCCTGCTTAGCTTCAGTGGGCACCAGTCTTGGGCTACAGGGTGATATGGTGGCTACCAGCAGCCATAATGTCAAAATGTCTTGGCGAGTGTTCACATAAACAGTCAGTTGTGTTTTAAGTGAACTTAAACAGTGAACAGTTGAGAAAGAAAATATGGAAGTTTTCCCCCATGGTATCGGTGTGAAAATTGTGGCCAGTGAAAATGTTGTGTGGCTAATAACTTTGGAAAACCACTAGCCACAGTGGGTGGTGAGCAAAAAAGTTAATGTCAAGCCCTATATATATATATATATATACACACATCAGCAAATGTTAAATTATTGAAATATTGACTATAAATCGCGGGCTAATTCAAGTACGTCAAAGGGGTTCGGCTGATTGAATCAGTTTAACACAGGGTTTCTTAAACTTTTTCGAGTTTTTTTCTATTAAAAGTGATTCATTAATCACATTAACGACTGGGTTCTGTTGTAGACATTTATACTGAGTGTTGTCCATTCAAATTGATGAACATAAATAAATGAATTCGAATTACAAACACATTTTTTGGGGGATTACCGGGATTACCGGTAATCATCAAAGCAATTCTTGTAATCATATGAAACGCCTAATGGTAACTGTCCACCTCTCTCTTCTCACAGAGGATCAGCACAGAAAGCGGAGACGGCCGTCACTACTGTTATCCCCATTTTACATGTGCAGTGGACACGGAGAACATCCGCCGGGTCTTCAACGACTGCCGAGACATCATCCAGAGAATGCACCTGCGGCAGTACGAGCTCTTGTGATCGGCGGGACCCTGTGCTCTCTACCACCGTGTCTCCAAACTCCGCAGACAAAGAATACTACTGACGTTTGGCACACCACACTTCGGTTTTTACTCGTTTTATTTTAACTCATGATTCGGGGCGGGCGGTCGATCGGTGGGGTGGAAGACGAAGAGGGTCACTGGGTTTTCCCCCACGTTTTTATTTGGATTGCCTTTATTTTTGCCATTCCATGAAGCCTCTGGCTACCTCCTTTTTTTTTTTTTTTTTTTTTATAAAATAAAAAATGATATCGTTGTGTATATTTTCTGGCTCCTGCCGGATTATGAAGATCGCATCACCTTGTGACCTCCAGGAGTCCTAGTCTCGCACCCCGAACCTTGATCTTCTGACCTATAGGGCTCTCTGCTGCTCTTTCTGTTTCTGAACACTGAAGATCGCCCACGGGCAGAGGCGGGGACGGGGCGGGGGGCTAGGGGTTGTCGAACACTGGGAAAACGAAGTGAAGTAATGCACTTTTCCATCCGGTTTTGACTGACGTTTTTCTTTACGAAGATGGACACACAATGTAGCATCACATCACGAATTTCTGTCCCACTCGAGGCTTGCGGACAGGTCAGGGGATGGTGGGAATGACCACGCCCCCTTTCATTGGAAGGAGGCGGGGCATGTGAAACGAGGAGGAGGGGCTCCGGGAACATTGCTGAAGCCTCAGTTTGCTCTTGAGAACATGATGGCAAAACGTCCGTGAAAAGAAACGCCCCATTTCTTAATGTTTTAGGTTCGTATCTTGTACAGACTGTGCAAGGTTGAATTTTTTTTTCTTTTCTTTCCTGTACAGACTATAAAATGTTATATTATTTTGTACAACTTTATTGAAAGAGAGTAAAAAAAAATCTACTTGTAGATCTTTGTGCCTTGATTATGGCTGTACCTGTAAATGAAGCTGATACATATGTTTTTGACTGCGCTGTACAGCTTGATGTCACCCCTGTCGGCAGAAGGGACTGTGGATGGGGACCTACTCTGTAGAGTTTAGTTTCTTTTCTTTCTCGTTTTTGTTTTTCTGCTTTGTTTATATAAAAAGAGAAAAAGTTCTTTATTAAAAAAAATCAAATAAATATAGGAAAGAAAATCTTAACCTGTATACATTATGCAAATTGACCCCCTTACCTGCGGTTATGATCGGACGAAACGGCACCATGCCTTTCTTCCCGTTTTTTTTGTTTTGTTTTCCGTTTCATTTGAATTCTCAGCTTTAAAAACAGAAAAATTGAAGAAAAAGAAGTGTCCAAAAATCACAACCTGGTGTTGTTTTCAAAGGAACCTTTTTGGATATGAAGTATGTCTGATATATACACACACGTTTGTGTCTGTGAGTGCGTGCGTGTTCACGTACAGGAGACAAACATTGAGCCACAGATGCATGACATTTGTGTACGAGTGTGTGTGCGCGTGTGTGTGCAAGAGTGCATTGTGTGCACTCTTTTATAAATGTGCGTACATGTAAATTTATACGTCTATATAAATATATATGTACAATTCTACATGTTTAATTATGTGTGTGTTGGTGTATGCATACTTTAGTATGTATACAGTGAAGATGTGTACTTACACACATAGGTAAGCATGTCTAGAGTGAAATGAATAAATGAGAGTGCAATATTGAAAGCAACTGTGCGTGTCCGACGATTTTCACCATACACGATATAGACAGTAAATAGTAAACTGAACTTTTTTTTTTACTTGTATTTCTTTAATATCAATATCATGTGATATCAGTTTATAATACACATCCAAATATACTCTTTATTTTTTAAAGCAACAACATCAGAACTTCAAGATGTACATTTTTATTTATATTTATTCAAGTCTTTTTTTTTTATCAGCTGAACACCTTTGGCATTCCTAATTTATTTTGCTTTTACCAAAACCTTTCAAACAATGTGATCCACCAAAACAACACAAATTATGTTTCACATGCAAATTTTGGTTGCTAAAATTTTAAGTTCAAACACGTTTAATATATATATATATACACACACACATATATATATATATATATATATATATATATATATTAGTATTACTCCAGTAAATCTCAAAACTTTTTAAATCTGTAAATACTATGTGCTTAAAGTCATGTTGCACAAGAAATACTTTTTAAAATAAATCTTCTAAAGTCATTAAATAGATTTTGTGTTTGTTATGTTTCTTAAGTCTTAAAAATCTCCCACCACTATTCTTTTGTCCGTCTACAAAACCCCATACATTCACATTTCAACACTAAAATGCTGACCACATTGAATAGTCTTCATTGCAAGATGACATATCCAAAGTTTTTGATACATTAACATAGACCTCCGATTCAACAAGCCACAGTGTATTACACCAAATTACAACTAGTGCAATCAACTTGACCGAAAAAGTTGATCTGGATTTTTAGATGTTGAAAAACTCTATTTTATACTGAATATGTGTGTATATATAATGCTGAGGTACATTAATTCCATACAGCACATACATGACATTCAGATAAACCACAATCGTATTGTTGGAATCCAAAGAAGTTTAATTTGGATTTCTTGAAATAGTATTTCTTACTACACTGCCCCGCCAAAAAAAAGTACTTTTGTTTGGATTTAAATAGGCAAATGCTTAAGAGTCTATGAGTGGATCATTATAATTGGAGTGTGTAGCTTTTAATTTTTTTAAACAACCCTGTAGGAAGACACATCATGGCCATATTCCAGGATGACAATGTCAAGATTCATCAGGCTGTTTTCCTACATGGTTGTTTAAGAAATGAAAAGCTAAACTCTCCATCAATTAGGCTTAAAAGAACTGTTCCCAAACACATAACATAATAATCACTGCAATAATGATCCAATCATTGACTCTTAAGCATTTGCCTATTTAAATCCAAACAGAAACTTGTTTTTTTTGTTTTGGCCAGTGTATAGATGTAATGCTGAGGTACATTAATTCCATACAGCACATACATTACATTCAGATAAACCACAATCTTATTGTTGGAGTCCAAAGAAATGTAATTTGGATTTCTTGACACGGACGTGTATTTCTTAGTATGTCCTTTAGACAAAAAGACAGCTGTACTGTCCATATTTTGCACATTCATGTTAAACTTGCAGTTCCCAAGCGCAGCTGCACATTTGATTTCACGCTCACAGGAACTCAAGTAATTAGAAAGTCTTCATTAGGTAGGATATAAAGGCATCGAGTTTGGCAAGTGAATCCTATGCAAAAAGTGTCGCCTCAACATGGAATGATCCAGAAGCTTTGCGATTGAATTAGACTGCAAGATTTTACAGAAGCGTTCCCATTTAAGACTCGGGCTACTCTATGTCCTGATTTTGCATGCCGGAAACGAGCTTCGAAGATTCTATTCCTCTCGATTACTGCTTTTCAACTGGCTTCTTCTCGCTGATCTGAAGAGTGACTTGTCCGGTTGGTGTGTAGCTGCAGGTTTGTGCGGACACTTGCGTTTTGAAGCTCTGCAGACCTCCCTCCTTTCCTCTCTGGACCTCGGAGCAGTACGTCGGCTGGACGTCAAACCTCGCAAAGCTACCGGGATGCGGTGAACCGTTGGATGAAGGGTCTTCGGTCACATGAATAGGTATGGTCTTCTCTCGCCTTGGCCGAGAGCTGCTGCTCACTGATGAACCTGGAGTAAACATGCTGGAAATATGTTCCTTGAAGGATCCGAAGAAACCCATGCGAGGCTTTGCGGATGCCACTGGACGTCCCACGTGCAGCAGAATGGGTTTTCCAATGACAGACTCGTTTATTTCTCTCTGCAACACCGAGATCTCACTTGGCTTCTCAACAGGGACATGACGGTCCGTACGGCTGCCGAAAGTCTCACCTTCCTGAGGGACGTAGTCCTCGAGGTCTTCAAGAGTAAGAACTCGATTGCCATCAGTCAGTATTTTGCAGTCTCGGGCACCAAGTTCGTCGTCTTCGGGCTCCAGGACAATGGTTCCCTCCTCGTCTTCATCAGAGTCAACCAAGACACATGGGTCACTAATATCTGCTGTAACGGTTGGGTATATTGTCAGATTGTCAACCTCAGACACATTCTGCACAGTTTCCTCTTCATCAGTACCAGAAGATGCTTGTAGAAGCATTTCGGCACCCATTGTCTCCTCTACTAACTTGTTGTTGGAGTTATTAGTGTTTGGATTGCCAGGTGGTGACAACTTGCCGGGGGAAACGCCCCTTCTCCTTGGTAACTTGGGTGATTTGTTCACTTTATACTCGATTGTTTCCTCGACTTCCACCCATCTTGGGTTCCTGGCCGTGGCACCCTCTGGATCTTGAACGTACAGTGTCGGGACAGTCTTCCTGGCCAGGGTTCGTCTCTGTCTGGGCGGTTCGGGAGTGGACGTCTCTGAGCGGTAAGCTCCCATGGGTGATGGTCTTGGGGACGCGTGGCGTTTCATACGAGTGTTCTTTACCACTGTGGTGATGGTCTCCTCGCTTAAAGTGGAAAAAATCATATTTGTGAGTATGATTCATGATAGATGCACACAGGAGACATAAACAGAATGCATAGCATTAGTCTAAATCTGCCATCAAATTTACAAACTGATATGTAAGGCCAGTTTACACTTATCAATACTTGTATAATACATTTTGAAGAATTGTATTATATTATATTAAGATAAACTATTTTAACATATTTTGAACAAATATGTCATGCAAAGCTGAATTTTTTCAGCATCATTACTCCAGTCTTTAGTGTCACATGATCCTTCAGAAATCATTCTAATATGCAGATTTGGTGTTCAAGAAACATTTATTATTATTTGATTGATAGGAAATTCAAAGAACAGCATTTATTTGAAATTGAAAAAAACATTTTGTTTTCTCAATATAATGTGTGTTTGTTTAGTAAAAGTATTAATAAAAAACATTCTTACAGATACAGACCTGAAACGTTTGAATGGCAGTTTGTGTTTAGGTGCATGTTTGAGACTTACATAATTATGGTTTTCTTCGGTATTTTCGTCTCTTGTTCCGTTACTAGTTGAAAAACATCATTAAAAAAAGGTATTAAATGAGTTACATAATCAAACAAACATCACATTTATTTTAGCTATTCAATTTCAGTTAATTCACTGCTTGTCAAAAAGGGTACAAAGATGATGCTGAAATATGAAAAATACATTTCTAAATATAGGTACATTTATATTACAATGGATTATTTATATTTTATGGAACCATGAAACTATCTTTCATAGTAGCCCCTTTATTAAAACCATTAAATATTGAATAAGAATGTGTACATGCATGTTTTTTAATCCCTTTTAAGTGTTCAGTAAGTGAAATCAGAACAGATGGGAAAGGCTGTCATACTTTTATGTTTTTTTAATTAGGTGGCATATGTGTGTTGACAGGTGTCTCGTACCTTCTATAGTGATGGCCTGATCTGCTCTACGTTCTCCAGCCCTTGCCACAGCAGGAGTGATCAGCTGTGCCGCACACCTGGCACTGCCCAGACGGTTTGACAGCTGCAAATGAATAATATGATGATCATTGGCTTAATTCCTCATGCTGGGAGTAAAGTAAGAACTGAAAGGACTAAAGTAAGGATGTCCATACCTCACAATCATAGTGTCCGAGGTCTCTTTCTCCAGGGTTCTTGATAACTAGAACCAACACTCCACTGCGTGATTCAGTGTATGTCTGAAACTTCTCCTGGTCTGTCAGTAGTTTACCATCCTTAAACCATCTGTGCAGGGAAATGCCATAGCTTAACACTAACCCAACACATTTTGTCAGTGAAATGGATGACATTGTTGGGTTTAGTCATTTTATGACATGAATCACGCAGAGTTATTTTGACTCATTATTTAAACATAGTATGATATATATACTATCGTTCAGAAGTTTGGCATTGGTAAAATAACTCTTTTTGAATATATTTTAATATATTTAAAACATTCCTGTGGTGCAAAGATGAATTTTCAGCATCATTACTCCAGTCTTCAGTGTCACATGATCCTTCAGAAATCTTTCTAATATGATGTTTTGCTGCTCAAGAAACATTATTGTTATCAATGTTGAAAACAGTTGTGCTGCTTCATATTTTTGTGGAAACAAAAATTCTTCCCCCAGAATTCTTCCCCCAGAATTCTTTGATAAATAGTAAGTTCAAAAGAACTAGAATTTTTTGTAACATTATAAATGTCTTTAATGACATTTCATTTTTGAATGTCAGTGTAAATATTAGTTTAAACGGAGTCACTACCTTATCTTGGGACTTGGTGCACTCTGAATGGTGCAGGTGAACTGAGCATCTTCTCCTGGAAAGAGTGTGGCGTTCCGGATCTTATTCACAAAACGTGGAGGTACTGCAAGATATGGAATAAAAATCAACACAAATTTAAAGAAATCTTTTCACAGATTGTGAAACCAGCTTTACTAAGTTAGTCACATCAGGTTGCTCTCAATTTGCTCACGTCCGTCACTCACCCTGCACTGTGATTTTGCCTAGTGTGCTGGCGTTGCCCGCAGAGCTGGTGGCGAAGCACATGTACTGGCCAGAGTCGTCTGCCGTCATGTTGTCCAATATGAGTGTGCAAGAGCCGTCTGGGTCCTCAATGATGATGTGATGAGGATCCGCTTCCACAGCTCGCCCGTCTGTTTGTGAGAGTCAGATGGATGAATTACTTTTCTTCTTAGAAGACATCAAGAGGGGAAACACCCAAGATTTGGTTCCTTACCTTTGTACCAGGTGACATGTGGTTTTGGGGCACCAGTGACCTTGCAGGCGAGCTTTACTGTCTGTCCAAGCTCTGCTGTTAAGTCTGTCAACACTGAGTCGAAATCTGGAAGGCCTGTAATAAAAGTAAAATGCTAAATGTTAGAACTAGGGTTTATTATTATTATACTTAATAGATGATGTTTTATAAGTGGAGTGTGTTTTGCCATGTCAATAAAATGCTGCAGAGATGACATATTTTTGTAGACATAACCTGGAAACGGTTAGCATTTTAGCATTTATTTGAATTGTTTGAATGTGTTTTTTTTTGTTAAATGCGGTCTGTGGTGAACACAAGCTCAAGATATTTCATGTTTGTTTTTACATCATTAATACCCCAAATAAATCAGTAATACCCCCTTGTGATTTTTTGTAAAGCTTTTATGTGTCTTGAAAAAGGCAGTTGCTAACATATGGCTAAATGGGACTGCAGAGGTTATCGAGGACATTGAACGTCATTATGGAGAACGGGTAAACTCATCTACTCACTAGTTCGCTCTTACAGCCTCATTGTGTTTATAATTGCACTCTTGCAAACTATTCTAACTCAAACATTCCAACTTGTAGATTTTAAATATGAATTAAATATAAATATATTTTTATTACATTAAATATAATTAAAAGAGTTGTTGGAAGCTTAATGGTGTTGGCATAGTGTTCGTTTGTAGCCTAACTTTAGCTTTTTCATTTTGGCAATTGTATTTAAGCTTCAAAATGTAAAAGTTTTGTTCATTTGTGAAGATTATCATGACGAACAAAACAACTTTTTTTGGCCAATGGAGAAACCAAAAACGAGGAAACTAGGGGTCATGCTAACGTTGGCGACTTACTCCACGCTGGCATGCTGAACCGCTGCTGAAGGTCACGGAGGTCACGGAGCCATGAGTTCTTGATGATGACAGTCCGTGCCTGCAGAGTGTATTTTCTCACAGAGTCCTCACGCTCATGCCAGATCTCAAATGCTCTCTCATCTCCCTCCACAGTGTCGTTCACGTCAATGTTTGTGAGCTAAAGCAAAACAATAAAAATATTTTTTACAATACATTACATTTTGTTTAATACAATATTATTTTTTGAGTGACGTTATGAGGCAAAACCAGTAATTACGAAATCCATAAAGACATTTAGTCGATATTGGGCCATTTTGAAGTATCGCCATTGGTGCTTGGCTTTGTGAATTTTTAGTAAATGTTGTGTAAAATACACTGCCCAAATGCTTAAGAGTCTATGATTGGATAATTATTGCAGTGATTATTATGTTTCTATCATGTTATATGTTTAGGAACAGTTCTTTTAACCCTAATTGATGGAGAGTTTAGCTTTTCATTTCTTAAACAACCCTGTAAGAAGACACATCATGGCCATATTCCAGGATGACAATGTCAAGATTCATCAGGCTCAAAGGTTTGGAGGAAATAACATCACAACATTTATTTCTATTAATAGATGCATTAATTTTTGGTCAATTCATGTGTGGAAATGATTCTTCATGCTCCTCCAAACCTTTGAAAGGTCTCAAACCTTTGTAAAGTCTCCTCCAGCACATCCCAAAGACTTTCAATGACTCACTTTCACTGCAATAATGATCCAGTCATTGACTCTTAAGCATTTGTCTATTTAAATCCAAACAGCGACTTCTTTTCTGGCCAGACGTGTGTCACTTAATTACAGTCATTTAAAAAGCATTTGATAAGCTCTAACCTTCATCATATTCTTAAACACATATGTTTGGGTGTCCATATTTGTGTCTCTCTTCTGCTTGCAGATGACCACATGGTTTTTGAAGAGGAAAACATGGCGGTGGTGACCTCTGGAAGATGATCGAACTCCAGGAGCTCCTTCCCAAACAGTGAAAGGCCCCTGTAGAACAAAGAAAAATCCAAGCAAGTTGTTAAATTTAACTACAAGAAAGTGAAATAGGTAATATGAGAGCACTTTATCAAAATGCAACTATCCTGTACGTTTATGTGTTAGACACCGTACCTGTCTAATAGGTTCTCCCAACGCCTCCAGATTGGCGGGGTAGTTCTCTATGAGAGACACATGGTGTGTGTTCTCTGAGCGCTGGGAGAGGGATGACACCATTGCATAGGCCTGCTCCAACAAACAGCAGTTCTGACCGTTCTTTGCTTTGTTCCGGATCAATTCCTATAATGAAATCGGGGAATTGGAAAGGGATGCTCACTTTCAATTATTATGCATCACAGAATACATAAATATTCTTAAATGCATTTTTAGATAGTTATTCAGCCTTTTGCAAGTGGAAATTGGAGATTTTTCTTCACACAGAAACGCAGTATTGTGGTATTCAAGTTTTTATTACCTTCAGTAAAGCCCTGTACTTTAGAATTCTCTCTGGTGGTTTCTGAAGATAAGCATTGATACTGAGCACTGGACACTCTGAGGGGTCGACATTTGCCAACTCTGAGACTGTATAATTCTAATGAAAGAAAGATGTAGAACATGTTATGCTCTGCGTCTTCCGAATACCAAATTATTTTAGTTTACGGACAAAGACATTTTTTCTAGAAATCCATCACTATACTTGTCAGTATTTTTGTAAACCTACCTTGAAATATTGGTGCACTTCTTTCTCACTGATGGCGGACTCAGCCTGTGACTGTCCAATGAGGTACTGTAGATATTTCTCAAAACCTTCAGAGTTTCTTAAGAAATGCATGGCAATGTCATCATCAGTGTCACAATCACGCAGACCGGGCAGCAAAGAGCTGGAAAACAGACAACAGTCAAGTCTTCATCGAGCTTTTTCCTGTTGTCACATCTGTATGACAAGACTAGAATATAAATGGAGAAAATAGTTCTTTACACACTAAATTTTAGATGCCTGGTTTCACAGACAGGGCTTAGATTAAGCCAGGATTAGACCTTAGTTAAATTAGGACATTTAAGTAGCTTTAATAAACGTGCCTTTAACAAACATTACAGGTGTGCATCTTGAGACACATTTTAAGATATGTCAGTGCAAGTTGCTTTCAGTTAAAACAGCTCAAACATGCATGTTAGTCTGGGTCTAGCTTAAGCCTTGTCTGTGAAACCAGGGGATAGAGTTAATCATAGAATTAACAATTCTATGTTAGAATTCTATTAACAATTCTATTAACAATTGTCTGAACTTTGTACCTGCTGTGGAAGGATTTTAAATCACTGATATTACGGAAGATGGTTTCCTTCTGGCTGGCGATATCAGGTGGTGTGCTCTCCTCATCCACGCGCTTCAGATGGTGTGATGTGAAAAACTCAATCTCCTTCAGAAACTCAGTCTCTGTGTTGATCAGCTCCTGAACAAGTTGACTAGATACAAGTGAAACGGAGGTAGAATGAGTACCTAGTACAGAATAAAATGCACATTTTATGTGTCTAAATTTTACCAGAGTTTCTTCTTGTACTCTGTCTCGGAGACTTCCTCTCTGGTGGTCTCTGGGAGGTCTGCTACATCTGCAGACAGCTACAACACAACCAATCCATCATTAGTAAGAAATTATGAAGATGCACTGCACTAGTCATTACATTATGTGCATTTTTAACCCTAGTGTCAAATTTTAAACTCACTAATTTAAGTTTCACATGCTATCACATTAACCAGTGTCACCGGTTGCACATACAATATATATATATATAATTATATTAAAAAAAAAAAATTCTAAACAGACCTTCAGTCTTTTGTCAAGATACGCAGGTGAGACCCATCCCTGGCGAGACGGGTTGGATTTGGTAGGCTTGGTACGGACCAGCCATTTAAGTGGGTGGGCAGAGTCCAGAACCTCCACATACTGGCCCTCTTTCAGAGCGATGGTATCTTTACTGACACCCATGGGGTTGTAATCAGCTGTCACCACGTAGATATCAAACATCTGCACAGATGCATTGAGATAATAACAGTACATTTAGAAAATGTGTAGTGTTGTCTTCACTTTAAAAACATGAGAATGCTCCGGATTCTGCTTTTAAATATCCTTTTGTGAACTAAAGAATCAACGAGATGCTTAACTCACATATTAAATAATATGAACTACAAATGTATTATTCTAACATATTTTTTCCCCCTTTTACAATAAATGGTAAATAAATGTGTTAAAAAATCTTATTTAAAGAGAATGCAACAGGTCTGACATATAATAATAATAATAATAATAATAAATTTGTTGATGACATCAAGAGTGTGATGTTTGTGATACCTCTCCCCTGGCATCTCCTTCATCCGATTCAGAAGATGAGTCTGCGATGAGAGATGTAGGACGTGATCGGCCGTGATATGGAGATGGTGATGGTGTTTTTGTTTCATCATCACTGTCAGCTCCTGGGACACGTAATGAAGCTTGAAGCAGACAGTGATAAAAAGGTTAGAGGAAGAAAGAGATAATGTTATTAGGTATCAGCTCTGACAGCATGGGCTTTAGCATCACATGTGAACAACAAAACATTTGTTCAGGTTATGGAATTCAATTAAAAATCAGCAGAGTCAGCATGTAATTTAAAAATATTAATCTAGATTATAATATCTATATAATATAATATAATATATATAAATGTTTTCCCCCATAGGGTTTACCAGGCCACACACACACACACACACACACACACACACACACATATGCACATCTTTAACATATGGGGCCTACTTAGGGCCTACTTCAGAATTTCAATGGTTTCCAAAATGTATCCAAAATACAAACTTGATATAGTCTCTCTCTCTCTTTCTCTCTATATAACATAAACAATGGTGTTTGCGTGGTAATGATCTTTACTTCACAACACGACTCAAACTGTGGCACGCGCACATAAGGGGGCAGCATAATTAGTTTCATTATTCACATAGGATATTTGATAGCTGATGTCAGACGTCAGTGTTTTAATTTACATTTAATCTCGCGAAATCGCGATGACGAGTTCTTCTACTGTGAAATATTGCCGCCGTTTTTTAATATAGCGCGAACTGATGGTTAACAACAGCTACTGACCCACGTAGCCTACTGAAATTGTAGCTAAAAACAGACAAAAAAGTTAGACAGCCCGAAGAGATCAACAGTGCTAGGCCTAACATGGAAATAATATCTTCAAAATGGACGCTGAGAACGATTTATGAGGAAAACTGTCCAGTTTCGCCGACCTAAAGAGAAGGTAAGCAGAAATGTTCATATTTAGCCTACAATTCAAATTCGTACGTAGCGTATCTTCTCTTATAATTGTGTTTCATTGTGATCGAGTATCTGGTGGGTGTCAGTTAAGAAGATACTGATGGTGGTTTGAAAAGTTTGGGATCCACTAGATTTAAATCTACAGTACAAAAACATAATTGTGTTATTTTACTAACTAAGTGTACCCAGTCAAATTCTTCCATTGCTCAATTTGAGCATATTCGAGAATATTCAGACAAGCTTTATGTGGTGTAGCTTTTTTTTATTTTTGTAGAAACAGGAAAAGATGCAAATAACAACAGTGACAGAAAAAGAAGGTTTTTTGAATATCATCTGAGCTCACCTGTGAGGTCCATTATCAGTTGTTTTTTAATCATCTATGACTCCGGATATAATAACTAATGCTGTAAACCACGTTTCTCCTGTGATTTAACATGCTTTGTCATGCTTGTGTAAAAACAAAATTGTGCCCACCACACAACATTAATGTATCGCTCATGCAATCCCTTATCTAAATGAATATGGCAGTGAGCGTTCATCCATTTTCTCTGTGTATACTGAAACAGAGACACCTTGAAAGTGTAAAAATGAGACACTGAATTTCAAAATGTCCAGTTTATTCTGTATTGAGACAAAATGGCCCTGATTTTAAAGAACCATGACTTTATTACCACTTGGCCATACTTAAAGCATTTTGTACTTAACATTTTAATATCTTAAATGTAGGGTTTTCTTTCTTTTTTTTTTTTTTTTCAATGTTGAGAACCAAAGAAATAGACAAGCAACGTGATTAACAACAGCATAGCCTCATGGAGAAAAAGTCAAAGTTCTGGTGTAATACACTGGAGGTTCTGCGGATACATACTGGTTACTTTGGGCCAAGATTTCATCCACTGGAGCACTTGGTGGTTCTGTAAGCTGTCTGAACAAATCAATGCTTCAATGAGAATGTGAGTGAATAGAGGGATGAGAGGATGGATGGATAGTTTGATGGATAGACAAAAGAATGGAGTCAGTGAACTGCACAGGAGTCGGGGGATCCAGAGAGATAAGGTTTTATATATTGTCAGTAAACTGCATAGGAATTGGGAATATATATATATATAGTGTGTATATATATATAATATATATATATATAAAAAATATATTATATAATAGAAGGGAAGTATTCTATCCAGGAAAATATGCTCACAAAAAAATTCCTGAGTATAATTAATGATTTAAAAAGTGAATATAAAAACAGGTGTACTCCATTTCAGTACTCAGTACATCCTGTGAGATGAATTCAAAGCATTTGTGCACACGCAAAGCTCATTCAAAAACAGTGCATACTGTTTTGAGTGAATTTTTAGGATGCATTCTGTAGAGAAAGACTACATTAAAACAATAAATTGTTATTTTCCACTATTGTAACTTATGACATCAAGAATGATACTTTAATTAATAAAAAAAAAAAACAGTACAAATAGTACACACATTTATACACATTGTAATTCATTGTAATACTGTGGCAGTGCAGGTTACAAAAATATTAGCTCAATATTATTGACTGAAAATTATTGTTTTCTCTTACCTTGGGTGAACTTGGCAGATACCATTTCAGTGATTTGGGTTGTGAGTTTTTGTAAGAATTCCTCTGTACCCACTTCACCCATGTAAGGTCGTTTGATCTCTCCTGAAGATGTTTTCAAAATAATTACTTATATTGCAGCAAATTACATCACAACTACCTGAGGGCAGTCACTCACTCTGATATAATCTGACAGCCCACTAAAAGTATAAAGTAGTTAAAAAAAAATGTAAATAAAAACTTAAACAGAACATCATCTATCAAATATTCACCTTTGGCCGCTTCCTCCGGTGGGCTAATAGTAATTCCCAGAACCCTGGAGAAGAAAATATTATAATTAAACATTAACATCCAAATATGTAAAATTGTACAATGTTTAGGCCTAGATGAATAAAATAATTTAATTGATAGCTGTAACCTTTTATATTTAAACTTACTCTGGCCCCACTTTGCTCATTTGCTCTGGTGCTGTTGGATAGAAAATTATAAGCATGATGATTAAAAGACCAGGTTATTTATTAATAAATCCTATTTAACAAGCAATAAAGTCAAATATATACCAGAAATATTCTTGATATAAAATAATATTATTTAAAAATAATAATAATAATAATAATAATAATAAGTCATGTGATCCTGACATCACTATGGTCAATAACTAAACCATGAGTTCCTGACCTGTCTCCACATCCAGCCGGGCTGTGTTAACCGACTGTCCAGCACGGTTGGTGGCTATGCAAGTGTACATGCCACCATGATTTTTTTCCACTTCCATAAGGATTAGACTATGCTGACGGCCAGAGCTGGCCACCTTGTAACCTGGTGTGTCTGCCTTGATCCACAAAACATCCTTATCTGACACTTCCTTTAACCAGTTCACAGATGGGGTTGGGGAACCTTCGGAAGACAGTGACTTAGCATGTTTTCACCTAATGTAACGTGCAACTGAACATTGTGCTTAATGCTTTTCTGTATTTCTCAAAATTGCATGTAAAGTAATTTAATTTATTGTGGTAACATGCCATACCTTCCACTTTGACTGACAGCGTTATACTTGCTCCCTGTTTCACCTTCTTGTTGCTGAACCTCTCCAGGAAGCGTGGTGGCACAAGTGGCACCTTTGAATCTATTTGTGGGAAAAATACAAGTGGCATAGCAAATGATATTCATGCTTAATCTTTCTTATTACTGCAAATTTCAAAATGCATTTGCATCTGTTCATACCATAATGGAACAATGATTCACAATTACATGTGCTGTGTGCAAGAATATGTGACATTACAGATGTTTACCTCTCATTCGTCCCTGTTCAGGTGCTGGGCGCTCTCCAGGAGCTAACAAATGGAAATCATGTAAACAAACAAACAAACAAAACATTTAAGCATTTATTTAGCACATTATAATAAAAGCCCAATTTATGTGAAAAAATCACTTTAATTATCATTTATAATTTCACCATGCTCCCAATTCCTGTCAAAGACCCCATGGAAGTGACACATAAAAAGGCTTAAAGCTTAAAAGGAACATTTACCCAGTACATTCAGTCGTGCTGAAGAGTAGGCAGATCCAGCTATATTGCTAATGTATGCTGAGTATTCTCCGGTGTCCTCCCGCTTAACATCCAAAATCTCAAGACTGTGCTGATCTCGCTCGGTTGACAATACAATTCTGCTGGAGGCTTGAAGTGGGGTGCCATCTTTGAACCAGTAAACTCTTGGTGTGGGAAATCCTGCAGAATGGTGTTGAACATGAAATTGTGTTTGCAAACCATTTTACTTCTGCAATGTAACAGCTGAAAATTAAAGTCGTCTTAGATGCAAAGCTATGTGAATGTGTATTAAGAACATAAACAAGGTAATTAAAAATAGGATGGACAGAAAAAAGGATGTAGGACATTAATGTCATTATGCTCAGAACGGCTGGAGTTGAATAGCAGATACAACAGGTGCAGATGTAAAAAAGGACACACTTGGAATACACAGTGCATAAATAAACAAAATACAGATAAAATAGATTCTGAAACAAAACAATTTGCATCCATGAAAAAAACAACTGACCTTTGACCCTAACACTCATTTTGGCAATGGGTGCTCCAGGACTGAGGAATAAATCGTGCAACTCATCCAAAACCTGAGGAAGCTGCTCGTCCTCTGCCACAGACTCAAAAGCCTCTGTGTCCCTGTGCTCCGAGCTAAGAGAGCAAACCACACAAAAGCAGAAGCCCATGTAAAACTAGCATGAAATGCGAATCAGAGACTTGTTTTGGCTGGATCTGTGCAAAATGTACTGTGTACTTGTAATACTGACATGCGTCATTAAAATCACTAAATGATTAAATCTCACCTAGACACATAGCCTTTAGCACTGACATAGGAAGACGTCTCTGTGGCATCAGCTGCTGTGTCATAGTCTGAGCTGCAAGACACTTCAACGATACACAAGACTGAATCAATGATTTGTTAGAAATAATAAAGAGCAATAATAGCCTTCATCTTAAGTATGTTGAAAATGTAGGGGCATTTTGAGGACATCTACATACAAACAATGACAATTATTCTTACAAAACGCATGCAGTTGCATTCTTACTCTTCACAGATGCACCGGTAAAAGAAAGTGCCATCTTTGTTAAAACGCTTTAATAGGGGATAACATTGCTTTCTTGTCTATATTTGTGAGTTTTGATTTGACACTTTCTTTTAACAGTGTACTCACTGTCCACTCTCAGCTCAGCCTTGCTGGAGGCGATGCCACTGTCATTTTCAGCCATGCATCGATATACGCCCATATCTGTGGGAAGCACAGCTGTGATGATCAGCTGGTGACGACCTTCCTGGTCTTCATTGATCATGTAGTGGTCGTTTTCCTCCAACAGCTTTCCATCCTTGAACCATCGCACAGTGTGAGGGTGTTTGCCAACAATTACACAGTCAAAACTGACTGGAAATCCATCAGGAACATCCTGGCTACGAAGCTCCGTCAGGAAGACGGGGGCCGCTGGGAGGTTGGTAGGTGATTAAGATAACCATGAAGAGCAAACAAAACCGAAAAGAACAGAACATAGCAATATGATGCTAAACCAGGCGAAAAACATTACATGCCATCACTTTAAGATCCAAAAAAACAAGCAAGTCACAACATTTTTGTAAATATCCAAAGTGCTGCCCTATAATGACAAATATAATCCAGCACTGAACCATGCAACTTAATGAAGAACCAAACAACAGTAGCAAAAACAAAACCAGATGGAAGAGGTATCATACCAGGGGTTCCTGTCATGAAAGCAGGCATCGGTTGGTCCTGAGTTGGGGTTTGGGAGCCATCTTGGGAGACGCCCATCTTTGTGATACGCAGCTCTACCTTAGAACCTGCTGCTGCTATGATGATCGTTTCGATGGGCACTCCTTGATAAGTAAACATTTCCTGGAAGCGCTGGGAAGCCACTTGAGCTTCTGCACGGTTATCAAAGCGGATGTAGATATACTGATCGTCTTCCCGGTAAGACTGTAGATCCGGTGGCGGTAAATCTCCTTCATCCGCACTCAAAAAAGGTTCCTCCTCCACATCTGGAGGAAGGCGAGTACGAAGAAGTCGCCGCAATCGCTTACTTGCCTGACGTAAAGTCTCGTCCATCTCACTCCCCGAGGAGCTCTCAGCTTCACTATCTGCACTGTAGCCCAGAGTGAGGGGTCGTCGCCCAGAAGATTCCCGCATTGACCCTATGGTGACTTTACCACTATGGGTGGAAATGCCAAACTTATTGGTGACTTCACAAGTATATACACCTGTGTCTTTGGTTGTGGCAGCTGTCACTACTAGAGAGCAGGTACCATCATTATAGATATCAATATGGTGGTGCTTGCCATCTATTAAGGGTTCACCATCCTTTAGCCAGCGAACTTTATCTGGCTTACCCTCCACAATGCACTCAAGATGAATTGTCCCATTGGGCTCCTTCGTCTGCTCTTTGAATACTTCTTTGAAGACTGGTCGCATGTCCTTTCTGGCTTTATAACCTTTGAAGGCTGCCTGAATCTTGACAGCAGCATCTAGCAACTCATCCCCTTTCTGAGCTTCCATGAGGGGCTCCACAGATGTCTTTGTAACAGATCGCTCAGTCATCTGAAAGTGCTCAAACAGTTTGTTGGAGGCAATGGTCTCAGTATGACTTTCCACAGTCATCGAGGAATTGCTGGTTTTTTTGAGGTAAGACACCAAGCTTGTTGTCCCACTGAGAGATTCCTCATCAGAACTGGTATAGAGATTAGGCTCTACTTTGATTTTGGGAGCTGGCTCAACGGGTCTCTCTTTCTCTTTCACTTCTTTTTCAAGAACTTTTTCTTCTTTGTTTTGTACCTTTTCTTTACCATCTTCTTCTGGTAATTCTGAAATTGAATCTAATGTGGGTTCCCGACTCATTCTCCTCTTCTTGGCCACTGCCTCCCACAAAGCATGTAGATCTCCCTCAGAAGCAGCTTCAGGAGGCAGTTTGGGCTGGCTGCCTGCATCCTGAAAAAGTGTTGTACCATCTCCTGTAATCAAGGAGTCATAATAAATCAGTCAACTTATGCATATGGTAAAATTTTTATGTTGGACATAAAGTTAATTAAATATATCAACAATGTGTCTCTGCAACAGCAATTGGTTAAGAAAACTCAGGTAATCTGAAGGTGTGAATAAAGAATAAAGTAGCATTATAAACGGAAACAATAAAGAAAAGTAAACAAAACGGAAGAACTAAAAAAAACATTAAATTAAAAATTAAAAACAAACAACCCACCCAAAGAGACTTTGGGAAGAGGAAAAAAGTTATTTGAACACTGTAATCTTGTAATGAAGAAAATAATTAAAGTCGCAAAGTTCCAAATGTTGTGACAATGACATACACAAGAAATTATTTCCACATATAACCACCAACAACAAAAAAACAGTGAGAGCAAGTTAGATGCGAGGTTAAGCTAAATGAAGTACCTTCGAGGTTGAGGTTGACTGAAGTCTTTGCCTCATTTGAGCCAACACAACAATAGACACCCTGGTCTGTAGACTGGAAATCCTTAATGAGCAAAACTTGGCTCTTGCCCTCTTCTACCACTTGGTACTTGGCCCCAACCTCTATCTCTCTGTTGTCCTTGTGCCATGTGACTGATTTACTTTCTGCAGAAAGTTCACACTCCAAACGAACCATCTTTCCTTTTTGGAGCTTAGAGCTGGTTAACATTTTGGTCATGGTCACTGGTGCATCTGAAGACCAAAGGTCCATTCAAAGAACAGTTGAAGAAATGCAGCAAAAACTCAACAAGAACTAAGATTATTATTTACACAAATAGAAAATACACTTGTTTGGAGTAGTTTTTAGTGTTCTACTGCACTGCAAAACCATTTGAGTGAGCTTATTTCATTTTAATTCACTAAAAGTATATTTCCTAAACTCCACTCAAATATTTTATGTTGCTGAAACTTAAAAACATTAACTTTACCCTCTTATATTTACCAGCTAGCTATAACATGTGCTAGTACAGCAAGAGAATATCAGTGCACCAGCAAGTGCAATTACTTCTTTTAAACAAAGCAGTGTAGAGATTTTGACATCTTTACATACTTTGGCCCATCCTCAGCTTAAACACAGGCTCTTCAGCACAATGGAAACCCTCCCAAAATGCAGACATAACAGAAACCCTTTTAAATACCATCATAACAACATCAAACAATGACAGGTCTCCCCCTAAATTAATATTGTGCAAAAACGCTACGCATTAAATAACATTTCATTTGTATTAATTTTAATAAATAGAGTCTGAAGCCAAGCACACTGGGAACTAGAAATCTGCTGCAACTGATTCAGTTTGAGTTCTGCTTAAAGGGGTCCTATTATGTTTTTTCACTTTTTAACTTCAGTTAGTGTATAATGTTGCTGTTTTAGCATAAAAAAGATCTGCAAGGTTACAAAGCTCAAAGTCCACTTCAAAGGGAAATATTTTATTTAACAGAATACACGTTTCAAGAACTAAAACGAACGGCTCATTTGGGCTACAACATGTTTTTTCAGGTTCTTATGAAGTCAAAATGTTTCTCATTTAAATAATCTCTGCCTACAGAATACGCAAAAAAGATGGTTAAGCTGCGCTAGAGAAGATGAAGAGTGTTGTCTCTGTTTTTTCCATCCTTTTAAGTTATTTTAAACAATGTTCCTGAACATTATAACCTCAACGTTTGTCTGTGCACTGCACATTTTACAGAAGACAGACAGAGTACAATGCAGGCTATGCACATAATCTTATCCTGAAAGACGTAGCCGTTCCCATTTTGTCAAGACAATATGTTGTTTATGGATCACAACTTGTAAGTATGTCTTATTATTTGTAGTTGTGTTTTCTATTAACAGTTTCAATTATACATTTTATGTAGTTGCTATGATAGCTACCCCAAAAACTAAATCAAGACTTCTTAAAAGGGCATAGTAGAACCCCTTTAATCAGTTTTGAGTTTCTCAGTTTCTGTTGAGTGCAATGAACTTTCAGTAATATTTGAGTGAAATTAGATAATTTCATTTAATAATTTGACTGTTAGGTTTTACAGTGTACTACTGTAGCATCTAGTGCAGAGGTCTTCACTCCTGGTCCTAGAGTCACTTTCCTGCAGAGTTTAGTTCCAACCATATTTAAACACACTTGAATCAACTAATCAATGTGTTTGGATTTACTTAAAGGTATAACCAGGTGTGTTGGAGCCAGGCCCGGCTGCAGGATGAAATGACTGAGGGGGCATGTGAAATTGTTAAGGGGGCTTAACTTTATACCATCAATGAACAATCAATACACACCTCGCTTTGGAACAACAGATTTTTAAATGCAGCGCTCCATAAAACACCCCATATGCAACTGCACAGGTAACCGCGTAATAAAAAGATGAGCCAGCATAATTTAATATTCATATATGAACTCTTTCACGCTTAAATTTAAAATATTCTAACTGACTCCCCAGAGTGAGTTTTTATTTTAGAACGTTCCCCATTAATGTTTCCATGGCAACGCGTCATATTTGTCACGTGACACACCGCAGCCACAATAATGAATGACAGATGTGTATCGCTTTTATTTCCTTTTTCCTTTTTTATTCAAAATATTCACCAACTTCCTTACCATGTCATCAACTATCTGATATTCCGATTGTCAAAAATGTGTAAGTGAGTGTGTTTGGTCGTTTAAAACCCTTATAAATAATCTTGATCTTGATCTATAACGTGAGATGGGCGCCACCATGTTTATTTGCGCCGCAGTTCAGAGAGTCATGTCAGTCATCATCAGTTTCTCCCGAAATATATGTAAGAAAGTGGCCGGTGAACTGTGAGACGAATAGAGTAAACTTTATAGTCACTTCCACTATGTTTGTCTGATATGAATAACACACGTTGGCAAATTATATTTAAATAGATTGTTTATTACTGCTTCCACAGACATCCGTGTGTATTTTACAAACTCCAAATGTATCGTTTTACTAGTGCTTATGTGTATTTCAATGTCTGAAACCTAAAATAAACAATATGAGGTTGAAAACACTGCATAGTTTTGATATATGACAGCGCTGAGCTCGTCCATCTCTGGCTCAACATTATACATCCCATATGGGACCGTACCGCTCAAAAGGTTAAACATTTAAGGTTTAAAACATTTCATTTGTAACCATGAATACAAAAATGAAACTGAGGGGGCACAAATCAGATCTGAGGGGGCAATGCCCCCTTTTGCCCCCTCGTGGCGCCGGGCCTGGTTGGAGCACGGTTGGAACTAAACTCTGTAAGAAAGTAGCTCTCCAGGACCAGGAGTGAGGAACCCTGATCTAGGGCAGACTGCTAATAGCAAGCCTTCTATACAGACTCATAGAGGCAGTTGGGTTAGATTAACATACAATATACTCACAATGAACTCTATAAGGTTGCTTCCGATAAATTGGTCAATTCAGTGAGTATCCACTTACCAATCGTCACAGTTTGAGGCAGCTGGACAGGCTCTCCAATGCCAGCACGGTTAATGGCTGCGACTCTGAATCTGTAACCTGCCCCCGGTATGAGGTTTTCAACCAGAAATTCAGTATTGCACACTGGTTCTGTGTGGCAGGGCAGCCAGAGGACACTGTCCACTAGACGCATTTCCACACGATAACCAATGATTGGGCTTCCTCCATCATTGAGAGGGGTGAACCAAGACAAGGTAACGGACGTTGGGCCTTTACTCACCAGCTCTGGATCCTCAGGGGGATCAGGCACAGCTACACGAAGAAGACAAAATTAAAAAAGGTTAGTCAGCAAGTAATGGTAGAAAATTGTAATGAATGATGCACAAAATGACTCTTACCAATTGTGGTGAGTTTGGCCATGGATAATGCATCCCTCGCTGCAAATGTGATTTCCTGTGTGGGTTGAGCCTGGGCTTTCTTCAAAATGAGGCTGTAGGAAGAGCCACTGGCTCTCATGGCCCATTGGTCATTATGTTGAAGCTCAACACCATTTGCATACCAAGTCACTTCACTCTCAGGCACAGCTTCATTCAAAGCACACGTGAACTCAACTTGTTCTCCTGCAATGGCGGTCTTATCTTCCAAAGGCTTGACCACCTCCAGTTGCCAAGCTGTACAGAACACATTCATAACATTCAAATGCATTTACATTTATGCATTTAGCATCATATTTAATATATGATGAAACTAGAGCATGAAACTAAAACAATAGTAAACAAAGCTATAAGATTTAAAATAGAAAATAAGGTGCATTTTTATTCAAAATACAGTCATGGCCTATAAGAGTCACTTTTATTTGATAAAACATGTTCTAAAACCTTTATATAATGTATTGCTAATAAAAGAGAAATGCCATACCTTTGACAGACAGAAGAGCAGTAGTTGATGAAGTACCAGCTTGGAATGTAACCCTTGTGTTTTCACAAGAATGCAAGTCTTTTAAGAGCAGAAGATGCCGTCGGCCACTCTCAAAGGAAACAATCTCTACATTTGCCGACTCCTTTACAGGCTTGCCATCGACTAACCACCGGCAGTCTTTGGTTTCAGGACGTGACAAGGCGCATTCAAAAAGTGCTTCACCACCACTAATGGTTTCCATGTTACTCAGCTCTTGGAGAATGTCAATGGGTTTAGCTGCAAAAGAAACACAATACCTGAAAAAACACTGGTTTTCTACATACCAAAACAAGTTCCTGTAGTATATAACTGATTGACCTTAGAAGAATTAAAACAATAACTTCTGACCCTAAAACAATAACTGAATTCAGCACAATCACACTCGATTAACAATTCTTCCAACATTTCACTAGCATATAGCATTCAGTATTGAGTAGCATAAAAAGCAATGGTAGCTGCAATAAAAGCTCATGATGGTTACTGCATAGCCAGCCAAACAAAAAACAGCAATTTTTGACTTGAGTAAAAAAAAAAATGTTTTATTTGTGGGTGCCTTTGAATATTAGCTTAAAAATGTATAAAAATATGTCAAACGTACTTAAATACAAAAGACATTGCAAAAATAAAATAATACATTCTGGAAGAAAAAAACCTGAAAGATGGATTTTTTAAAAGTTTTTTCTGCAACATGGCATCATGACTTTTGCGTAAACATACACGCCACTTTCAAGTCAAGTGGCGTGTTATCTATACGCATTTTAAGCTATCCGCGTGTATGCGTGTATGTCTACGCCGTTAAATGTCCGAGTGATTCTGCGTGTATGTACACGCCGTTAAATGTCCGAGCGAAACGAAGCAAAATGTAGATCTACATCTGGGGATATTTTTTTCCTAGGATGGTAGGGGAAGACTCATAAATGGTATTAACCCCAGTGACGGGTAGGTTTAGGGACGGGGTCGGGATAGGTCATATATTTATATATACAGTAATGTAACGTTAAGTCAACGGCGTTCATAAACACGCTGAAAAGCGATTATGCGTGTTGATAGCACGCCAAAAATGGAAATACGAATTGCCGTGTCATACATACGCCATTTCATGAGATCAGTCTGTTTATTTAGTAATTAACTTTTTTTATAAAGGTGTGTGTCGTATTAGATTTTGAAATTGGCATGGAGAATTATATTTCACTGGTTTTGACTACTGACGTTTTGGTATCGTGGTCATGTGAAACCATCAACATCAAATTGCTAAAGACGTGTCCCTGTAAAACCCTTTTTAGTAAGCCCTTATACTGAGTCTTTGTGATGATCCAAACTTTTGAGTTATGAATGACACACAGATTCTCCTTGTCTACAGGTGTGCTCACCTTGCACCCTGAGATGTGCCACAACAGAGGTTCCTTCTGCCTCACAGGAGTACATCCCCCCATCCTGGGGCTCCACACAGCTAATGTACAACCTTGCAACAGTCCAGTCCTGTTCCACTATTACCCTGCGACCATCTGCTTGCACAGGTATGCCGTTTCGCTTCCATATGGCCTTGACTGGCCGGGAATACTGACAGATGAACTCTGCAGGCTGATTCTCTGCTACGTGTTGGTCCTCCATTGCACTGACCACCTCCACATTGGGATCTATAGAGGGTTGGTGGTGGGGATAAGTAATTTTCTCAAAACCCCAGTGCACTTTGGAGTAGAGTTCTTCACCTCAATCCTCTTTGAGGTATTGGGTGGTATTTAATCTTTTTTGCAACTGAAATACAAGTCTCAGCAACCTTTGCAACTTCATCATCTAAGTCGCTGCTGAAGCATTGCTAAGCATTACTTAGTTATTACTAAGTCAGATACAAAGTATGGTAAGTGTATCATCTTTTGCTTCTCTACTCCAAACTGACCAAGGACATGGTCAATTACAACCAACAGATGCCTAGTTGCAGTGTCAAGTCAAACTAAGGCCAAATCTAGAAAAAGTACATGCAGCACAAAAACAGAAGCGTAGTTAAGATTGATGAGTAGCCTACAATGGTCTTTTCACGAGTTCACACTTACATACAATTAGAGGAGTACAGTTTAATGCGTATTTGGCGTGCTGTCCGGAGGGAGGGGTCCGAGCTCGGAATTCAGCCCGAACCCAGAGTACTCCCCCCCATATGTAAAGGGTTAGGACTAGAAGAGTGGAGAAGGGGTGGTGGAGGGATGCTGCTAAACTCAATGGATTGAGGTGAGACTGCTGAATCTATATACACCTCTTATCATTGATTGCTGAGTGCTCTCCACCCGTGTTAATTATCTGAAAGTGCTCCTCCCGCACTTTGTTAATAAAACATCATATTGAGAGTATAAGACCATTTTTCTTTTAAAGTTTACACATTCATTTAGTAGAATTAATTACATATATAAAATACTGTGATAAAAATGAATGCAGCCTATATGCTACACCAGTGAAATGCTTCTCATCAAACCACACATACTGAGAGTAGGCAATACATATTCAAGCGTTCATACTGTAGCTGATTCAGACCAACAATAATATATATATATATATATATATATCTAAAAAAAAATCTCAGACAGATCAATAAACTGAATTATAAAATGTATTGCTGTGGATGTTAAAATGGATTGCTGGGATAGTGCTAGGCTTACTGTATGTATGTCTAATTATATACAAATAAAACAAACAAAATACTGACTGCTAGAGACACCTTTTGTGATGAATAATGTTATGTCTATGAATTTGAATAATTATTCATTTGGGGACTCAGAAAAAATTAATATGATTAATTGTGATTAAAATTGGAAAATATATAAATTACGTGATAGTTAATGTATCGACAGTCCTAATATCTTAGCCACACTATACTTTCTTTTATAATAAATAAATAAACTATCTTCACGCCTCGACAGTAAGGACTGCCTGATGCCCAGCGGGCCAGTTTAACATTTGCACATGTTTTTAAGTCAAACCAATTGCAACCTTATTTATAATAATACAAGGTTACATAGGTCTAAAACAATGAAAACAACAACTTTTTGTGGCAGGACCAGTGAAAATTTTGTCTGGACAAGTAAAAATCTGAACCACTGGCCTGTTCGGGACAGAAGAAATAATCCTTAGCATTGAGCCCTGGTCCATATACAAATCCAAAATAATTGTACTAATTTATTAATTAGTATGCCGATTTAGTAAGTAATTAGAAAGCCAAGATATTGCAGCCAAATCTACTGTTTAAGGTTAGAATGGCACATTAACTACATGCATCCATGAATTTCCATTAAAAATACATATTTTTGTTTTCAACCTATCTTACTGTATACTTTTGCCTAATAGTAAAGTGTCTTGGCAGCTAACAAAAATATTACATTCTAGGCATGGGTAACCCAAAAAGAGATTAAAGTAAATACAAATCTTGTTCTATCAGGATTGCATTATTGAGCATGACACTGAACCGAAGGATTCTCCAGTGTAGTCTGTGTAAAAATACTTTGGAATAGTATTATTATTAAGTAATTTTCAGTAATACGAGTCTGCAGCATATATCAAAGAACAGTAATCAACTACTTAAAGGACAGATTGTGACAAAATTCAAGATTCATGGTCCGACTATAACTGTTATAAAAATCAAGAAAGGTAAAAACCAAAAAAAAAGAAAAAAAGGCAACCCAAATGCTTCAAAGAATGAGTAACTGACTTTTAGATTTAGGAAATTCATGGACACAAAATTAGTCCAGTGCTATTCGTTTAATTTTAAGCCTTTAAATCGCTCTGCCAAGTGCTACTAGGCCCCTTCACCCCGTTTGGTACCTTTCACTAACAGTTTGGCGGAGGATGACAGGCCACCTGTTTTGAACAGGACTGTACCCGAATCATTGGGAGAAAGGTTCCTTAGGGTGAGAGTGTGGACATGGTCTTCACCCACACTTATTTCACTGAAGGTACTGTTCTCCAAACGAGTGCCATCTAGCCACCACTGAACTCTGCCTTTGGCACGGCGAGAGAGCTGGGAGGAGAAAATTGCCTGTTCGCCCACAAACACATCTGTATTCTTTATACCCGACACTATGAGGACCTCAACCTCTGCAGAGACCAGACACAGAAACCCTTAGATCACCAGTGTCTAAAAATACGCATACATTGAGTAGCCTATACTTCATAAACATAATGCAAACTTTATAAAGACATAAGGGCATATTCAAAAAGCTACAGATTTTAAATAACCTCCAACATGTATGAGATAATTCTGTCTGTTTCATCTATAAATTTACTAAAACTAAAATGCATTATGCAATTGACTTAAGAGTGTTATTTGATACCTTGCAGTGTGACTGATGCTGTGGTCAACTGGTCTCCAGCATCACAAGTGTAGTAGCCATTGTCCTCTGGTTCCAGATCATGGACATGGAGCTCCAGCACACATCCTTCCTGTTTCATCTCAAATTTCTTACTGGGTTGGAGCACCACTCCACCCTTTCTCCACTCTACACTTTTAACTAGTTTAGAAAGTTCACAGCGCAATGTGATACTATCTCCCTCTATTGCATTCTGGTTCTCTAACTCCTTCTGGAAGTATGCAGGTTGACCTGATGATGGATGAGAAAAGAAGTTGAAAGAATGTAATTGTCAGATTTTAAAAAGGCTGCCAATATCTGTGAAGGAATCAAAATCTTCTTTGTTCCACAAGAGAGCCAGATACAAAGAGAAAGGAAACTAGAACATAAGTTGGAACACAATTCTTCTTGGAATCTGTTTGTGTTCACTTTCATAGTCAACAGGCATGTTGATAAATTAAAACAAATAAAGTCACAGGCCTACAAACCCGTTTACCTTTTACAGTAAGGGTGGCGCAGCTTTCTGCATCTTTGGTTTTGCATGTATACACCCCTGCATCCCCTTCCTCCACCCTAAGGATGCGGAGCTGATGGACGGCTCTATCCTTGTAGAGCAGATACCTGCCCCCTGCCTTTATCATCTCCTGATCTTTGTACCAGGTGACAGAGGCCTCAGGGTCGGAAGTCATGCAGGACAGTGTGACTGTTTGACCCTCTTTGGCAGTCAAGTCCAGAGGCTTCTCTAAGAATACGACTATGGACAGGAGAAACCCAAACCCAAGTGCTGTCACATCATATTGTCTACCTGAAGACTCTGAAACTTAGACACTTTAAGCCATTGAACAGATACAGTGATACACTAAAAATTCTTTACTGAGTGAGAAACTCATGCTTTAACAATTATGGATAGGAATTGGAGAAAAGACAGCGTAGATGTCTAAATAATAAAAAGGGAATAATGAACCAAAAATGGATGAAAACTACACCGTTTTGGAGTGTAGATGTAGAATGGCCAAAGCAGATGGAAAAGCAGCTAGAAGCCTTTTGTTATGATTGCGCAAAATGAATGCAGCTACTACCTAATGACAGACAGATGATTGCTTACCACCAATGAACACTGTTAGCCATAAGGGTCTTTTACCTTTGGGTTTCTCCTGCACCATCAAGTAGGCAACACTCTTCTCAGGGCCAACCACAAAGGCTACATCACCTGAATCATCGGGTGTGACCATTTTCAGCACTAGGCTGTGTTCCCTTCCTTGGGTGCTGATTTGATTTAAGTCATTGTTTTGAAGGTGGTTGGAGCCGAGCCACCACTCAACATTCGTAACCCCTGTTTGGGACACCTCACACTTGAAGTTAGCATCCTCGCCTGTTATCACAGTCACATCCTTTAATTCTCGTGTGATTTTAACACATTCTGGGAAGGAACGTGATGAAAGGGACTATTGAGGATCTTCCAAAAAGTCGAATGAGGTAATTTTTCCACCACTGACTTGTACTTATGGCCTGGTTTCACAGATAGGGCTTAGATTAAGCCTGGATTAGGCTTTAGATCATTTAGAACATTGAAGTAGCTTTTATAAACGTGCCTCAGAAAAAAACATTACTATTGTGCATCTTGAGAAAAAACAATGGCACTGACATTTTTTAGATATGCCAGTGGAAGTTGCTTTCAGTTAAAACAGCTCAGATATGCATTGTGGTCTAGTACTTGGCTTAAGCCTTGTCTCTGAAACCGGGGGTATATCTTTTACTTATTTATCTTTTAGTACTTTTTTATTTACTAGAAGTGAATGAGAATGTAAGAGGATGTATTAATCCTCCAAAGTGTAGTTTATTATCATAAACATAGCATCATGCTATCCTCATTAGTTACCTTTGACAGTTAATGTGGCTTTGCTTCGTTTGTCTCCTGCTTCGCATATGTACTCGCCACCATCTTCCACTGATAGCTTAAGGATCTCCAAGGTTTGGATTGTGCCATCCCTCTTTATGGAATATTTCTTTCCATCAGATAGGAACTGAGTGCCCTTCTTCCAGGTCACATTGGCACCAGGGATTGAAGTTTCACAGCATAATGAGGCACTGCCTCCCTCTGTGACTTCCTGGCTTGTCAACTCCTTCGAAAATGACAGCACGGGGATTTCTGGCGGGAAACAGTGATACATAGAACACATTCTAAGACATGTGCAACACCCTAAACCTGAAGATTATGAGGTGTTAACAAATTTCCTTTGCAATTTCTCAGCCAGGTACAAAAGTAAGCCTAACTTTGGAATGCTTTTTGCAGCATTTCTGTTATAGATCAAATTAATCATTAACGATTAAATAGTCAACCTTCTAAATGTAATATCCAAAACTCAACATACTAACAAGCAATGGTCAAGATAAGACATATTTGACAATTGAAGACAAAACATACATGCATAAAAAGTAGCTGGTCACTTTATTTTTGCAATATGATGCATTAAAGCATGCATCAAACAAAGACAAATGCAAGATATATTACATGTGGAATGTATTGAATATATATATGGATATAGGATGATCAGACACACTAAACACGTGCACAACAGTGCATGTGTTTGAAACCCACTGTGATCATTCAAGGAGTAAAAATAAATACATCCAAAAAGTTCTTCAGTTTTACCTCTGACTGTTAGACAAGCAAAAGAAGTGTGGGCACCCACATGGAAGGACACCGTGCCAGAGTCTTTCTGGGTGACACTTCTTAGTGTGAGTGTGTGCCTTTTGCCTTTCATTCGGATTTCATTTATCTCATTGTTCTGTAGTGGGACGTCTTGCAGTGTCCACTGAACAATGAGTGCATTATCATGAGAGACAAGGCATTCGAAATGAACGTCCTCGCCTTCATTGACAATGCAGCTCTTCAAGCCAGTTAAGATTGTGATTTCAGGTTCTGAAAGCAAATTCAGGTTTCATTTTGCAAAGAAAGCAACAAGCAACTTCAAGACAAATTTATTCTAAATGTAAAAATATCAGGAGTAGTCAATAGGCCAAAAGATAGATGAATAAACTACCTCTGTATCGATGTAACAACCAAAACAAGATAGCTATCCTTTAAATAAAAAAGGTTAAATTGCAAAGGGAAAAGTGTATAACGTTATGTTAATCGCAAAAAACTCGTAAGTGGGAGTGCATTGGAGAAAGGTTCAATTTAAAGTGCAAAATCACGTGCACAGAGTAGGTGCTTAAAGTGATCTGGGAAGAAGTGAAGTGAAGCATATCATAAGAGAGGATGGATGGTGTAGTATTGAGGATGGTATGGAGTAGATGTGTGATCATCAAAATAGAATGATGAGGTCAAGTTAGGAGAGATGAGGACTTTTATCAGGTGATTCCTACCCTTCACGGTGAGTTTGGCAGATGTCCGATCATGTTCTGTCTCACACGAGTATTCTCCAGAGTCTCCTCCCTGTAGCTTGTAAATAATAAGCTCAGCAACAGCTCCATCTTGCTTCAGCTGACATTTGTTGCTTGCTTCTATTACACTCTTGTCTTTCCTCCAGATGACTTTGGCTCCAGGTTTCGCAAGTTCGCATCGAAACACTGCATTTTCCCCAGCCTCAGTATCCAAATCTTTCAGTGATGACTTGATAAGAACTGGCAGTGCTGCAAAAAGCGAGTAAACAAGTGTTTCAAAGTCATCAGAAGAAATGGCTTCAATTGAAACAGGAATATGATTACTTTTATTAGACCAAGGGTTCAATCCAAGCCTACCCTTGACTTCCAAATATGCAGTGCTTTGGCGATCTCCGGTATCACAAATATAGTCACCAGAGTCTTCAGGTTCAAGGTAATTTATGACAAGTTGTGCATGGTGACCATCTTGCTTAAATTCATATTTAGCACAGGGGCATAGACCAATTTCACCCCTTCGCCACTCAACTGGAATGTCTGCTTTGGAGAGTTCACACTGGAAGCGGATGCTCTCTCCCTCAACAGCTGTCTGGTTCTTCAGTGCTTGTGTGAAGATGGCTGGAAGTGCTGACAATTCAAAGAGTGGCATATGATGCAATTATTTTCCAGACAAGTAAGACCAAGACAACACAAAGGCCTTAAAGTACAGGTTACAATTAAGTTTCTTTCCTTAGCTTTATCTTCATAACAAACTGTGGAATCATTCACACTTCATGAACACAGGGTGAGAGTGATAATGCATTTCAAAGATGGATTAGAATGATGGAAAAATTCATGGAGCAGTTGGTCTTCTCCTACCGTTAACCTTGACATTGGCAGTTGTAATGCTGTCTCCACAATCACAAGCATAGTCGCCAGTATCTTCAGGTTTGACATCAGTGATCTTCAGCTCAACAGTAGAGCCAACTTGTTTGATGAGATACTTTCCCCCAGAGTGGATCACCTGAGTTCCTTTCCTCCAAACCACAGGAACTGCAGGTTTGGAGAGCTCACATTGGAAGATGATGCTCTCTCCTTCAATGGCTGTCTGGTTCTGCATCTCTTTTGTGAAGATGGCTGGAAGAGCTGACAATTCAAAGATTGGTATGAGATGCCAGATATTTAGTTCCAGACATACAGATGATGTAAATATAAATATTTTCCAGAGAAGATATTGACAACAAAAATGCAGCGTTCCAAACAATACTTAAAATTAAATCCATTTCTTTTTTGACCTTAACTTGATAAATGGTGGAATCGTTCACACTTCATATCCAAAGAATGAATGTGAGCATGCATTTCAAAGATGCATTAAAATGTTGTAAATATTCTTGAAGCAGTTGGTCTTTTCATACCATTAACCTTGATGTTGGCAGTTGTCATGCCGTCTCCGCAATCACAAACATAGTCTCCAGAATCTTCAGGTTTGACATCAGTGATCTTCAGTTCAACAGTAGAACCAACTTGTTTGATGAGATACTTTCCTCCAGAGTGGATCACCTGAGTTCCTTTCCTCCAAATCACAGGAACTCCAGGTTTTGAGAGTTTACAGTGCAAAATAACACTGTCCTTCTCTTGAATCTCTTGATTCTGTAGCTCATCTTTGAAGACCACTGGTAGTGCTGAAGAAGTCAGGCAAAGTAGTTGAACTATGAACATGATCTTGTGAGATTAATTTACACTTTTCATTAAAAAAAAAAATCCTGTCACTGATAGATGCAAAACTTTCTTCTGCAATTGCTGAACTTATATTTTTACCACCTTGTAAGATTTTTTGATGAAAACAGCCACCATTATGAAAATGGGAAAACTATAAACTAGACAAACAACTTATTGCACCTGACAAGCCAATACACAGTACTTTACCCTACTCTACCATAAATGAAGACATTATTGAAGGACAGCTATGTAGATCAGAAAATAGGAAGCTTATTCATCGTTGAAGAGGGTTCAAATAAAAGCTCAGTCCTACCATTGACTTTGATGTTAGCGGTGGTGATGCTGTCTCCGCAATCACAAGCATAGTCTCCAGCATCTTCAGGTTTAACATCAATGATCTTCAACTCAACAGTAGCCCCAACTTGTTTGATGAGGTACTTCCCTCCAGAATGGATCACATGTGTTCCTTTCCTCCAAATCACAGGAACTCCAGTTTTTGAGAGTTCACAGTGCAGAGTAACACTGTCATCTTCATCACACGCTTGGTTTAAGAGTTCTTGCGTAAACTGAACTGGGCGAGCTGTTGAGGTAAGCACTTCTTGAGTATTTCTGAATTTACAGCTGAAGTCATTTTTACACTATTCTATAATAAAACAAAATCTGTACAGGCAAATGCTTTATAAATATTACACCTAATTCAGGAAAGTTGAAGAACACACCATCAAATCAGTAATGTATATAAGTTGAATAAGAATGCCATCTAGTCTTCTTTGTCAACACAAAAACGGTTTAAAAAAAAGTGATAATTAAAAAAATTTAAGACTATCTAAAGGGAAACACTGCACAGGTACACATGGTCATTTAAAGCAATCTAGATGTGATCTTTCAAAAATAATAAATAAAACATCCACATCAAGACTGGTGACATGATGGGCCCTATTTTAACGATCTGAAACGCAAGTGTCAAAGCGCAAAGCGCAAGTAACTTTGTGGGCGGATCCCGGCGCTGTTGCTATTTTCCTGGCGGGATAAATGCCTCTTGTGCCTGGCGCAAATCTAAAAGGGGTTGGTCTGAAGTAGCTTCATTATTCATAGGTGTGGTTTGGGCGTAACGTGAAATAAACCAATCAGAGCGTCATCTCCCATTCCCTTTAAGAGCAGGTGCGCTTGTTCTAAAGCGGATTCCTATTATAACGGCGGATTTGCCAGGCGCAGGAGTGGTTCACAGCCGAGGAGAGCAACGTTCTCGTCAGGGCCGTAAAACACAGAGAAGTGACATTGGGGATGGAGAAACCCACGCAAATTAACTTCTGTTAAACAGGCGTATGATAATTTGGGTAAATGTGTAAGCTACATGTATGCTTTTATAATAAATTGTCTATCTATCTATCTATCTATCTATCTATCTATCTATCTATCTATCTATCTATCTATCTATCTATCTATCTATCTATCTATCTATCTATCTATCTATCTATCTATCTATCTATCTATCTATCTATCTATCTATCTATCTATCTATCTATCATAATAATGTATGTTTTGCAAAAATGAAAACTGCTGCTTAGAAGAGAGAATCAAAGTGTATGCGCGTTGTGCACACGCTACATTGATTATGGCCAAGCATGCGCCCTTAAAATAGCATAATGCACAACGCGCAACACGCCACTGACTTTAGACTAGGTTTTTTTCTGGTCAGTGGCGCAATTGTTTTATAGAACAGCAAAATAGCATGAGGGAAAGTTTGCGCCGGAACACGCCTCCTCTTTGCGCTGAACCGCCCCACGGAGCGCAAGTGTATTTCTTAGTTAACCGACGTGTGTCTGTGGAGGGAAAAGTCCGCTTTGCGCGGGTGCAAAATAGGAATGATACATGCGTCACTGTACAAAGTCATTTGCGCCGGGTGCAGGATAGGGCCCGATGTGTTAAAGTAGTCAAGAATGTTAATGTCTGCATCAGTTTACATCCATAAACAGGATAACTTTTTTTATTATTTCGAACTGCTAAAAACGGCTCTGTGTTAAATATAGAGACACAAAACGTCTCTGTGTTAAATATAGAGACACAAAACAGACCAAAAAAAAGATTTTAAATTAAAAATTATGAAAAATGCAAAGGTAAAGAATAATACTCAGACAAATAGCAGAGTGAAATGATACTGACAGAAAAATCCCACAGGCTGCAGTTGGAGGATGCAATTAAAAACCAGTTCACAAAAAAATGACCAACACCTCCAATCACATTTAAGTTACAATGCCACCAACAGTCTAGACTTGAAATAATGAAATAATGTTATGCAATTAATTCTGAAAAATCAAAGCAAGAGGACACTATTTATGTTGTATATCCATGATATTCAATGTTGTGGAAGTGACCATCACATTTGGTAATGTAAAGCATCAGTGCTGCTCTTCCCAAACCAGCTACTTTCACTAAACCAAGGACACTAACAAAGATAAATATCATGTAATGCAAGCTAGTAATCTCTTCCTTACAACCGTCATCCACTCTCACCCTCTTCACCTCTGACATCAGCAAATACAATGTGGGAAACAGATAACACTCTAAATAGAGTAAATCATCTAAATATTCACCAAGTATGACACTGAAACAAGCAGTGGTGCAGATAAAGCTGCAAGAGAAAAAAAAAAAACATTTGGCTACTAATTTTCAAGTAAAAAAAGTATATATGAGAGAAAAGCCAACAATATCATGTTAGCAACATGTGCTTCATGTTTCCTTAGTTATCTAAATAGTGACTTATTTAAAACATAAAACAGAAGCAGCTACTTCGCTTAAGATTGTTCTGTAGCAAAATGTAGGAGCAATAGTTCTGGAAATTGTAAAAAGAAAAAACTCCCCGTCGCTAACAATATCCAAAAGGAGCAATAATGCACAGGCAAGAAGTTTAAATGTAGAAAAGTAATGATTATCATCAAAATTTAAGACACACCACAACAAAAGATTCAAATAAAAATGCGGTTATAATGCAAAAGCGAATGCGTGGCCACATGCCGCTCCAATCACAAGAATGCATTACTGAACATTTTGAGTGGGATTCACATTTTCAATTGCACATAAAGGTGCTGCACGACAGACAAGAAATGCGCAACAGTTTCATACCACTGAGCTCTGCCTGTTTCTCTCTCTTCTGTTTATGGAGGTTTGTTTCAGGGGCAGCGGTAGAACTGAGGAACTTTAGAACTTTTACACTTTCATGTAAATTGGAGACTTTGGCTAAAACCATAAAGATCTTACAGCACAAATAGCAAAGCCCATGTCAGACAATAATGGCAAATGCAGAACAAGCAGACGTCTTGGATTACAACTTATGAATGAAAACAACTAAATGAAAGCCCCCCAAAACTGACTGATTCCAGACAGTTTAGCATGTCCAAGCAAGAAGGATTCAAGCTGCTGACCAAGAAAACAAAGCAAAGACAGAATTGTGACTGAAGTCAGACAAGAGCTGAAGCCTTAAATCTATATCTCTGTTTCACAAATGAACTGCACTAAACTGAAGAGAACACAAACTAGGCAGACCGCAAAGAAGACAAGTTTGAGGCAATACCAAAACAGATGTCTGTCAGACTATGGCATAACTGCACAGCAGGTGGAGCCACAGCAGGATACAACAAATAATCTAAAAGTTATATTTAATAATTTACAAAATTATTCTGTTCCCCATTAACAACATCTGCAGTTATGGTTTTCTGCTTTGGCATGTCATCTGCAAGAGCGTAATTTTGCTCTACACGATGAACAACTAAATTTTTTGGGCATTTCAAATATACTGTAGGATATCAGTGAAAACCTAACATAACAAATGCAACATTAATATTCACCAACACCAAACAAACAATAATATTCAAATGTGTAACACTTTTTTTTGTCAGAATAGTGCAGTTAGGAAAGAATGGTTAATAACTACCAGAAAGATTAAGAAAGATTCATACCCTTGATCTTCATATTAGCTGTGGTTGTCTTATCACCACACACACAGGTGTAGTCTCCTTCATCTTCACATTTGAGATCAGTGATCTTCAGCTCCACCTTTGAGGCAATCTGCCTGATGATGTACTTTCCTCCAGACTGGATAACATGGCTTCCTTTTTTCCACTGCACAGAGATGCCAGGTTTGGAAAGCTCGCAAGACAGAGTAGCACTGCCTCCTTCATCACACTCTAGGTTCTGAAGCTCATGTGTGAAGACCACTGGTAATGCTAAGGAACCATGAAGAAATGTTGGAACCATATTACACAAACAACTCAAGAATATATTAAAGAACTGGACAGAAGAGAAGTCTTTCCAATCTTAACAAAATAATATGTATTCCAGTTGTGAGCCCTACCAATTGAGCAAAACAAAATTTTACCATTAGTATAAGAAAAACTCCTGATCAAAAATAACTTCACGGCACAGTGGAAGACTGTGTTAAAGTAATTCCATAAACAATCACTATTCAAATAAGAAATGCATAAAATATAAAACGGGTGTCATGATGGTGTTTACATTCTGTACATCATTCCTACCATTGACGGTAATGGTAGATGAGGTCTTGTTAATCCCACAATTACAACTATAGACTCCAGCATCTTCAGGGTTGACATCAGTGATCTTCAGCTCGAAAGTAGACCCAACTTGCTTGATGTGGTATTTCTCTCCGGAATGGATCACCTGTGTTCCTTTCCTCCAAACCACAGGCACTCCTTGTTTGGAAAGCTCACATTGAAGAGTAACACTGTCCATTTCTTGACACTCCTGGTTTTGTAGTTCTCGTTTGAAGATCAGGGGTAGAGCTAAGAAGCAATTGGCGTTGTAACAGTTTGTTAGTATAGTGCACTCTGGACACAATTTAAAAGCACACCATTCACAAACCTCCCAAAGACAACAGGAGACGAGATAAGACAGAACATCTTACAAGACAAGATTGGGAAATTTTTGTAGTAGTAAATCTTACAAAATCTCTCTATAAACGTTCCCTTCAGGTAACTAACCAGTAAATGTAAAAATATAAAATAAAAAGTCTTTTTACTCAGTAAAAAGTCTTTTTACTCAGTAAAAAGTGAACATGTAAAAAGCAGAGATTCACATATATAAGACTGAATGAACTTCATACCGTTGATCTTAATGTTTGCCGTAGTCTTTCTGTCCCCACACAAACATGTGTATTGTCCAGCATCTTCAGATTTGAGGTCAGCAATCTTCAACTCAAAAGTAGCTGCATCTTGCTTTATAAGGTACTTTTCCCCAGAATGAAGTACCTGCGTTCCTTTCTTCCAAACTAGTGGAACCCCAGATTTTGAGAGTTCACAGTGAAGAGTAAGACTGTCTCCTTCTTCACACTCTTGGCTTTGTAACTCACGTTTGAAGACAGCCGGTAATGCTGAAGTGTAATTGTATGATAAATCAAAGGTGTACAATTATTACCCTACATATTGATCAAGTTAGTTGACAACATATACGTTGACATTTCAGTGTATTGCTTGCAATGAATAAGCTTTATCCATACCACTGACAACAACACTTGCTGTTGTTTTCTCGTTTCCACATTCACATGAATATTCTCCACTGTCCTCAGTAACTACATCTGAAATCTGTAGCTCAAACATGGTGTCCCTCTGCGTTATCTGATATCTTCCCCCTTGTTTCACATTTTCAGTTCCCTTCTTCCATTGCACTTGGCAGCCAGGTTTTGAGAGCTCGCAGGAAAGTAAAACTTTCCCGGCTTCGGTAACCTGCTGGTTCTTCATCTGCCCCTTGAACCTGGCAGGCACCACTGGAGAACGAACAAGCATCATATAATTAAAATTCTTCATAGTTTTAACGTCCAAAAGACAGGATGGCGGATCATTGGGATGAAATGATGAAGGCATGACAAGGAAGTTATGATAAGCCGATGTTCGGTGTTATTTTGTATCAGGATGGGATTAGGCTATTAATGTATATCTTTACATCATTCTTGGTGGTCAAAATTGTCTATAATCACAGAAATATACCAACAAAAAATCAATTCCAATACATCCATTGTACCAGGACTACGTGAATAAAAATATGATATATATACAAAGACTAAACCTTACAAACCAACACAAAACACAAATGCTGATGTGCCATTTCTAAAATTTGACAATTCTACAGAAAGCTTGATAGACATCAACTGGAAATCTCAATGGGTTCTTCATAAAATCTTAAAATAAATAAGACAAGGATTCTAATGGTACATTATTATATATGTGCACATGCCACATGTGCACACAATGGCCACACCGACACCGGGCACAAAGTACAAATATATTCTATCACATCAATTGTTGTAATAAGAAGCACAAGTAACAACAATTCCAGCACATATATAAAAAAGACTATTTAACCATATTTCCATTAAACTTTCTTGCTAGAAATCTAAATGACATGTAGAGTACAAACATAATTGTGAAAGTATAATATAAAAGTGTCATTACTCTGAACTAAGGTGATCTTCTGCAGACAACAATGTATGAGACCATCAGCAAAATACCTGGTAGTAACATCGCCACAGAGAAACCCAAAAGTTAAATGCAAAAAGGCAGAAAGAAACTATACAACACATATGCTGTACTTACCAGAAAGATTTTCAAAGATTTTCTTTACTTAGGTAAAGCTTGCCTTCCTACATTACCTCTGACTTTCGTGTTCATATTCAACGAAAATTTGACTGTCAGATTGAATTAATAATGAATTTATAAAAGCAATCTAAACTGTAAGCATCTGGGATCTGTCCATCTAAAAAAATAAGATTCTCAGCCTTCAAGGCATTATTTTCAAGCTAGGCTAATACATTGCAATAAACACCAAGGTTCTTACCTTTCACTGTCAATTTGGCTGTACTCTTTGTAGAGCCAATGTCACAGGTGTATACCTCGCTGTCACTCTTCTCTAGATCCTTAATGTTGAGGATGAGGACGGTTCCCTTCTGCGTCAGCTCATACCTTCCTCCAGCCTTGATCTCCTTTGTTCCTTTCAGCCAGGTGACTTTAGAGGCAGGATGGGCGGTTTCACATTCAAAGAATACAGCACTATTCTCTTCTGCCGTGGCATCCTTTAGCTCACAAATGAATTTGTTGGCCAGTTCTACAGAGGGAATGAAACACTAAGGTAAATATATTTCTCCTTTTTAGGAGTATGGGATTTCCCCTGTTGTATATTTTTAAAAAAATATGTCAATGCAAAACCATTAGGTGTAAAATCCTTTACCTTTGATCTCCAGTTTAGCCTTGGAGGTTGGACCACCGGTGACCTCGCAGCTGTATTCTCCAGAGTCTTTGTCAGTGACGTTGTGGATAGTCAACTTTATGAGCATCTGCTCCTGACTGATTTCATATTTTTGGCTCTTTCTGATAGACTTGCCATCCTTGGACCACTTCACTTCCAGGCCACATTGAGAAAGCTCACAGGAGAATACGGCATCTTCACCAATTTTGGCACTAACACCCTGAAGCTCTTTAGATATGGTAGGAACTTCACCTACCCCCAAAAAATAAGATACGCCTTGATTAAGCAAAACCGGATTTGTGTTAAAACTTGATTCAAATTCATTGCTCTTGTTTTTATTGCACACGCCGCTTACTCACCCTCAATAGAAAGTGTTGCCTTTGAGCTCAAATCTTTGAGAGTGAAGACCACCTCACCAGAATCAGAAGCTGAGACTGATTTAATTGTTAAGGTATACTTGCGCCCTTTGCTGCTTATCTGGAAACGGCCTCCATCAGTGACAGGTTGGCCTTTTAAGCTCCAGGAGCACTGCTCTGAGCTTTCCCGGGACAATATACACTCAAATGTGCAGTTTTCACCTGCTTTGGCCTCTATCGACTTAAGACGCTTGGTTATCCCGATGTGGATATCTGGGGTCAACAACACAGGCATTATTGGGAAAAAAACAAAAACTTAATCTTCATCTGTTTCCATAAAAACATACATGTAAAAAACACAATAAATGACACTACAGTGTCACTATAGCACAACAGTATTTCCATAGTTTGTTGACATACCTCTAACAGTGACCTTGGACTTGGAGAGGTCCGTGCCAAGATCACAGCTGTACTCCCCAGCGTCAGCTTGCATGACGTCGTGGATAGTCAGTCCCAAGGACTTACCATCATGGAGGAGCTCGTATTTTTTGCCTGCAGACAAGACTGTACCATCTTTGCACCACACAGGGGCCACTCTGGGCTTTGAGGCTTCACACTTAAGGGTCACTGTTCCCTTCTCCTCTGCAACTACATCATCTAGCAACTTCAGGAATACAGCTTTCTTTTCTGAATGTCAATAAATAAAAAAGTGCATCAAACCAAAATCTGTTAAAAAATGTCTTCCTCTTTCACATTCAGCTTTTCTGTTTTATTTAGACATTGTCATGTGACCTCACCTTTGACCTTCAAGCATACTGTTTCTTTTACATCCCTTACGCTGAATGACACCTTCCCACCATCCTCAGGTGCTAGGTTCTTGAGAGAGAGTGTATGGGTCTTATCCACATGGGTGATGGTATTGACTTCATTGTTGAACAGCAGCTTGTCATTGAGCGTCCATTGGACTTCTTCATCAGCATAGTTAACCTCACAGGTGAACACAGCATCACCATCTTCATCCACCTCAACATCTGTCAGATGTTTGGTGATCTGGATTTTACGCACTATATCAAGTGTAAAAAATGTTTTATCAGAGTGGAACCAACAGCACCTATATAATGCCTTTTTGGTGTAGTCAAAGCCTCTTACAAGCAACCCTAACCCTAGCGGGCTGGATGTATAAAGGGAATGCAATTTGAAACAACATGCTTCGAATGCCTTCTTTATGACTTTACCTTCTACTTTGAGAACGGCTTTGCTCTCACAGACCCCGACCTGACAGCGATACTCTCCAGAGTCCTCTGCACTCAAAGCTTGTATAATCAGCTGCACATTGGCGTCCTTTTGCTTCATGCTGTACTTGCTAGAAGCCTCCAAAGCAGTTTGACCCTTAAACCACTGCACTTCTTTTGGTGGGGCAGAGAACTTGCAGCACAGTGTGGTGGAAGTCTTCTCCTTGGCTGACACATCCTTGACAGGTTCAAGGACTTCAATGGGACGCTCTATGGGGTGAAATGAACAGTGACTTTGAAAACAAAAGTTCACAAAACTACTATATCCTACAGCATTACATTTCATCTGTAGTAAACATATAACCAGAACAAAATAAACCTTTTTAAAGCTCAAAGCACTCAGCCTAAACATTTTTGCAGCAATTTCAATTCTACAATAGCTAACATTTCTGTAGCAATTCTATCATGCATCATTATCAAAAACTATTTAATTGGAATTATTAGATTCAAATTAGATCACTTTTGGATTGGCTATTTTGCAAAGTTCCTAACCTTTCACTTTGAGCTCAGCTGTTGATTTGCTCTTTCCGGCTGTGAACTGTACTGGGCCTGACATGGAGGCTTTGGTCTTCTTAAAAGTGAGGTGGTGCATGGTTCCCTCTTTCTCCATCTCGATATCTGCGCTCTCCTTCAGCTGTTCCCCATTCAGCATCCACTTCACTGGTTTGACTGTCTCCACGCTGACTTCAACTTCAAAGTGGGCGGCAAATGGCTCAGTTACCTCCACAGAACTCAGCTCCCGTACTATGCTGATAGCCTGCTCTGAAAGTTGTGATGATACAGTATAGTGCTGTGTCAAAAAATGTGCTACATAAAAAGTATATAAAGTAAAATTCTTTAAAAAGACTTTAGACTTCAGAAAAGTCAAACTTATGACACTGCGTGGAAATAAAACAAAATGCATGTAAGCTAAATTTACATAACAGAAATTTAACCTGTAAGCAAACATTAATTTGTCCCTGTTTAGAAGGGCAAATTAATAAGATAAATAAGATTTTTCAAATAAAGTTAAAATCACAAACAGGCTCATACTTGTCTGTTGCAGATCAATTAAAACTGATCTACAAACTGTTATAAAATAAGTAAAAACATGCAATTACATTATGTCCACCCTTATACAGTTAGTTTTCTTTTTAGTTTTCTTCTTTAATAGTGTGTGGTTGTGCTTCATGAATTCAGTTGTGCTTTCATCCTAAAATGTTATTATTATTATTTTAATCATAACTGAAAAGGTTTTTACCCTCTACTAGTAGCTGACATGAAGTCTTATCATCAATGGCGTCACACATGTATGTGTCCTCATCATCAGAGTCCACGTCGATGATGGTGAGCTTCCTGTAGATGTCCTCACTAGTGATCTCGTGCTTCTCGCTGGGTTTGAGCTCCGACTTGTTCTTGTACCATGTGACTTTAGCACTGGCCCGTGACACCTGACACTCTAAGTATGCGCGGTGTTTGAACATGGCGATTTTGTCTCTCAGTTTCTTCACAAATCTGACAGGCAGTTCTGTAACGATTATAAGGTGACTTGGGGGGTGATTTGTTAGACAACAGTAGAAACACTACACAGCACAGGCTGTAGTTCATTAGTCTAAACACTGAATGCAAAATGCATGCAGATACGATAGACACATGACCACGAACCTTTAACCTTTAGTTTAGCGGTTGAAGAGGCCTTCTCAGCTGTGAACTTGATTTCACCAGCATCCTCAGCCTTTACAGATTTGAAAAGTAGTACGTATGTTCTTCCTGAGAGAAAGAGAGTTTTAAATGAGTTTGAGAGTTATTGATCTGTCCCTATTTGAACTGAATTTATGCTTGTTTGATCTTAGTACATTCAGCTCAACTCACCCTCCTGCCTCATCTTGATGTTGTCTCCGGCTTTGAGCTTGGCATCCCCTTTGTGCCACTGAGCCTCTACTTCATCGTGAGAGACCTCACAAACAAATGTTGCACTCTCCTTCTCGGTCACCTCTGTGTCCTGCAGTGGCTTTACTATTTTAATATCTCGGGCTGCAAGAATTCAAACAAAATCATTTATTCATATGACACTACAAAATGTTTGAGTATCTCCCACTCAGAATTCATTCATCTTTACCATTAACCGTGAGCTTTGCTGAAGTATTGTCATCTGTTGTTCTACACATATACTGGCCCTGGTCCTCATACGCACACTTGTGGATGAGGAGGGTGCGCTTGTTGGCCTGGGATTGAATGCCAAATTTCTTTCCTGGCTTTAGTTCCTCATCATCCTGATAGAGCAATAATGATGACACAACTACATCAACATTTTCTTTTACTAGTTCTATTTTCAAATTATTTTATATTCCATTCAGATGTGACTACACAATTTTTTTCGAACAATTCTAAATTGAATTACTAATACCTTAAACCACTTGACATCAGCATTTGCTCTTGATACTTCACATTCAAATGTGACTTTCTCCTTTTCAGGAGAAACGATATCCCGTAGGGGTTTGATGATCTTCGCAGCTGGCTCTGTGGACACAACACAAATTATTACGGTTGCAATCATTCTAGATTTTAACACTGGTGTTTAAGTTATGGTTCTTTTCATAAGTTTCATATACACCTTACTAAACCCCCAATAAACGACTCTTACACAGGCTGCAAAATGTTAATCATGCTCAAGGACACAATACAAGAACATAAAATGTGGAAATTAATATGGTTTGTATTGTGGAATATACTTACAATATTGGATATGCAGCTTCTACAAGAACTAAACTTAAAAATATACTTTTTATAATCTCATGTAAATGCTATCTTACTGAAAAAATCTTACTGAATCTTGCAATTCACTTAAGAGCACAACCCAATTATTGGATGATGCATTAACCCTAAATTACCGACTTACACCCTTTGCATGCCAAGAATTATAAGTGGGCTTAAACCTAAAGACCCCAATATACAAACTAACCTGTAACAATTAGTTTTCCAGAAGTATGGACATCCTCAGCTTGAAAGGTAATAGATCCACCATCGCTTATCTTCAGCTGGGACATAGTCAGGCTGTGCTTGTTGCCCAATGCTGTAATGATGATATTGGGTCCTGCCTTCAGTTTCATTCCATCTTTGCTCCAGGATCCTTCTACATCAGCCTTGCTAAGCTCCACCTCCATAGTGATGGTCTCTTTTTCTTGTACTTTCACCTCTTTCAGGCCTTTTACTACCTGAATCTTCTTAACTGAAAAGTAAAAAAAACAATGGAAATCCAATGATGAGACGCTTTTAGGAAGGCATAATTGAATGTGCATTTCGGTTAATGATTTTCATGGTCCATTTTTATAAACTACTAGGTTATACTGTATATAGTCATCATAGCAAACATAAAGAATGAAAATATTACGATCGAAAGAGTAACTCTGTGATAGAATAACAATAAAGGAAGCCCTACTTTCTACTGTCAGTTTTGCCTGGGTCTTGTCATCTAGGGTTTCACATGAGTAATGTCCTCTGTCAGCATATATCACGCTCTTGAGGACCAAAGTCTGCTTGACACCCCCCACATGAATCTCCAGATTTCCTCCTTGCTGTAGAACCACACCATTCTTCATCCACTTCACATCTGTTGAGGGTTTACTCAGCTCCACTTCCAACCGAACTGTGTCCTGCTCCTGCACAGTCACATCTACAAGCTTCTTCTTAAATGTGACAGGAAGCTCTGCAAGATACAGATATGTGTGTACTGAGAAACATGTGCTTGCCTGCGGATATGTTGCATTACGCTTAACAGTTATCCTTACCTTGTACTTGGAGTGTGGCCTTGCACACTTTCCCATCGGCATCGATACTGATCTCTCCTGCGTCCTCCTGAGTGACAGCTATGATAGTGAGGGAGTAGCTGCTTCCTCCAAAAGCTAACTTAAATTTGGGACTAGCTGTTATAGGAACACCATTACGCAGCCATCTGACACTCACATCATTCGGTGTGATAGAGCATTTGAAGATGGCATCTTTGCCTTCATTTGCAACAACATTGTTCAGCTTGGTAGTGAACCTCACCAGACGTGGGGCTGTGAGAAATTAGATTGAACATTTCAATACATCTATCACTTAAAACAATCTTAAGTTACGTTGGTTCATTTGATGAGAACTTATGACTTTCAGACATGACACTGATGGTTCTTACCTTTAGTGGTGACTTTAGTGGTGGTTTTGTCATCTTTGCATTCGCAGCTGTACTCCCCTTCATCCTCCTGAGCCACAGCAGAGACGATCAAGATGCAGTTGGTGCTATCAGTGCGGATGCTGAATCTGCCGCCCGGTTTGATTTCTTTGCCGTTATGCTTCCAGAGGACATTACCTGTGGCTTTGTTGAGGGTGCAGGAAAGGGTCATGGTGCTTTCTAGTACTGCAGATACCGGTTGCAATGGCACCACAAATTTTAAAGGTGCCTCTGCATGGAATAATTGAGGGGAAAAATTAAATCACATTTTGTCTGCAATCAGTTAGATTTAGTATTTCTATAAGCACAATTATATCTTACATTAATTACTTTGAAAACTTCATATGTATAAGTATAGAGACAATTGCATTGGAATTTTTTCAAAATAAATATGCAGTAACACTTATTGCTTTGAAATAGCAAATTAGCTTTTACCTTTGACCTGAACCTTGAACTCCACCTTGTCATCAGGAGTCTGGCAGTAATAAGTGCCATTGTCTTTGGATTCAGAGGACTTAACAATTAGGACACGTGAGCGACCTTCCTGTTTCATCTCATACTTTGATCCATCTTTTAGTTCCACTCCATCCCTGAACCACTTAACACTACAACTCTCTGACATCACCTCGGTTTTTAAAACAACCTTCTCTGTTGACTCGACCATCACAGTTTCTTTTGTCACAGATGTCTTCTGGAATTTGGTAGTGACATCTGAATAAAAAATAGGAAATATTCACTTAATTGTAACCATGTTCTGGAGTAAGATAGAAGATTGTTCATTAATGGAGGTCCACTAATGTCCTAGAAAGTCTTACCTTCCATCTGAATCATAAAAAGAAGTTTCTCATTTCCAACTTCACAGGTATATTCTCCAACATCCTTCTTCTCCACGTTCTCCAGCACCAGCTGACGGCTCTTGCCCTTTGACTCCATGTGGACAGTCTTACTGGAGCTCAACTGCCTGCCATCTTTGAACCATTTCACCTCAGTCTTGAGGTCAGAAACTTCACAGCTCAGTGTGGCTTTTTGGGATGCTGAAACCTTAACTTCCTTCTGATAAGAGTCTTTGTTGGTGAAGCCAGTTTTGAGCTCTAATGAGAAGGTATAAAGAGTTTATTTCATTCAAAGAGTTTAGTTAGCCAATTTACAGAGAAAGTCAATACTAAAGTGACATTAAATATGACACTAGACAAGAAATATTTTCATAGTAGCTTTTAAACAACCCAAAGAAGACTGTTAAGATTTGACATATTTCACTTATCAGTGCAAATTGTAAATAAGTTATTTGGTGTGTCCAAGAGCAACCACTGATGACCAAATGGACAGAGCCAAAATAAACAGTCCAAAATGTTTTCCATACCTGTCACCTGAATCTTAAAGTGCAGTTTCTCATTCCCAACTTCACAGGTATATTCTCCAACATCCTTCTTCTCCACGTTCTCCAGCACCAGCTGACGGCTCTTGCCCTTTGACTCCATGTGGACAGTCTTACTGGAGCTTAACTGCTTTCCATCCTTAAACCATTTCACCTCAGTCTTGAGGTCAGAAACTTCACAGCTCAGTGTGGCTTTTTGGGAAGCAGCTATTTTGACTTCCTTCTGATAGGAGTTCTTGTTGGAGAAGGCAGCTTGAATGTCTAGTTGGGCAGGTACAGTGCACCATGGATTCAATATAACAAAACAGAATTATTTTGAGTCAATATATTACTTAAAGTTATAGAAGTTAGATACTATAAGGACTGGATGGTTGAGAAAGCCAGGATGGATCATAAATTGTGGTCTATATTTTAAGCAAATAAATCCAAATCACATTGCAGACTAAAACATTTTTAGTAGCATTGAATTCAGCAAAACACTGCTTTTTTACCACTTCTTGAACAGAAAAACTACATGTATTACTAAATCTACAAACACATGTTAATAATATCAATGGTCTCTTTCACCAAGGCCAATTTTTTATTGCTACAAGTAGAAGTAGCTTTTGTCAAGCTTCACTGTATTACTGTAATTTTGGTCTTTTTCATTTGCAAGAAAAACTAAAGTAGAAACAGAGTGCCAATAGACAAACACAAGAATATTCCCATACCTGTCACCTGAATTTTAAAAGCAAGTTTTTCATTTCCAACTTCACAGGTATATTCTCCAGCATCCTTCTTCTCCACATTCTCCAGCACCAGCTGACGGCTCTTGCCCTTTGACTCCATGTGGACAGTCTTACTGGAGCTCAACTGCTTGCCATCCTTGAACCATTTCACCTCAGTCTTGAGGTCAGAAACTTCACAGCTCAGTGTGGCTTTCTGGGATGCTGAAACTTTCACTTCCTTCTGATAGGAGTCCTTGTTGGAGAAGGCGGCTTGAATGTCTGGATGGACATTAGACAATATCAGAAAAATCATTCCACAAGAAAACAAATTACATTGCAGACTGAAACAGGCAACATATTTTTCTGCCTATAAGTGTACCACTTCTTAAAGAAAGAAAAGTATATAAATAGTTGTATCTATAAAGACACATTAATGAAATCTTGTGGCATGCTTTTTTTGACCAGATGCAAGGCATACTGTATCAAACCCCTTTGTTATATTTAAAGTTGGTTTTCTTAATCTTTGTTGACTTACTGTATTGTAATTTTGGTATCTTCCATAAAGAAGAAAAAACGAAGATAAAAACAGCAAGCGAATAGACAAACACAAGGATGTTTCCATACCTGTCACCTGAATCTTAAAGAGCAGTTTCTCATTTCCAACTTCACAGATATATTCTCCAACATCCTTCTTCTCCACGTTCTCCAGCACCAGCTGACGGCTCTTGCCCTTTGACTCCACGTGGACAGTCTTACTGGAGCTCAACTGCTTGCCATCCTTGAACCATTTCACCTCAGTCTTGAGGTCAGAAACTTCACAGCTCAGTGTGGCTTTCTGGGATGATGAAACTTTCACTTCCTTCTGATAGGAGTCCTTGTTGGAGAAGGCGGCTTGAATGTCTGGGACAGAAATCAAGATTCAGGAATATAGTATCAGAAACTACTTTCAGTTTTATATAAACTTTGCTTTGGTCATGTATTATTGAGTCACTGGAACCTTAAAAAACACACAAAAACAAGACAAAACACTGGCATGTTGTTCTTACCTTCCACCCGAATCTTAAAGACCAGTTTTTCATTTCCAACTTCACAGGTATATTCTCCAGCATCCTTTTTCTCCACATTCTCCAGCACCAGCTGACGGCTCTTGCCCTTTGACTCCATGTGGACAGTCTTACTGGAGCTCAATTGCTTGCCATCCTTGAACCATTTCACCTCAGTCTTGAGGTCAGAAACCTCACAGCTCAGTGTGGCTTTCTGGGATGCTGAAACTTTCACTTCCTTCTGATAGGAGTCCTTGTTGGAGAAGGCGGCTTGAATGTCTGGATGGGCATTAGACAATATCAGAAAAATCATTCAACAATAAAACAAATTACATTGCAGACTGAAACAGGCAACACATTTTTCTGCCTATAAGTGTACCACTTCTTAAAGAAAGTAAAGTACATAAATAGTTGTATCTATAAAGACACATTAATGAAATCTTGTGGCATGCTTTTTTTTTACCAGATGCAAGGCATACTGTATCAAACACCTTTGTTATATTTAAAGTTGGTTTTCTTAATCTTTGTTGACTTACTGTATTGTAATTTTGGTATCTTCCATAAAGAAGAAAAAACGAAAATAAAAACAGCAAGCGAATAGACAAACACAAGGATGTTTCCATACCTGTCACCTGAATCTTAAAGAGCAGTTTCTCATTCCCAACTTCACAGGTATATTCTCCAGCATCTTTCTTTTCCACATTCTCCAGCACCAGCTGACGGCTCTTGCCCTTTGACTCCATGTGGACAGTCTTACTGGAGCTCAACTGCTTGCCATCCTTGAACCATTTCACCTCAGTCTTGAGGTCAGAAACTTCACAGCTCAGTGTGGCTTTCTGGGATGATGAAACTTTCACTTCCTTCTGATAGGAGTCCTTGTTGGAGAAGGCGGCTTGAATGTCTGGGACAGAAATCAAGATTCAGGAATATAGTGTCAGAAACTACTTTCAGTTTTATATAAACTTTGCTTTGGTCATGTATTATTGAGTCACTGGAACCTTAAAAAACACACAAAAACAAGACAAAACACTGGCATGTTGTTCTTACCTTCCACCCGAATATTAAAGACCAGTTTTTCATTTCCAACTTCACAGGTATATTCTCCAGCATCCTTCTTCTCCACATTCTCCAGCACCAGCTGACGGCTCTTGCCCTTTGACTCCATGTGGACAGTCTTACTGGAGCTCAACTGCTTGCCATCCTTGAACCATTTCACCTCAGTCTTGAGGTCAGAAACTTCACAGCTCAGTGTGGCTTTCTGGGATGATGAAACTTTCACTTCCTTCTGATAGGAGTCCTTGTTGGAGAAGGCGGCTTGAATGTCTGGGACAGAAATCAATATTGAGGAATACAGTATCAGAAACTACATTTAGTTTTATGTAAACTTTGCTTTGGTCATGTTTAATTGAGTGAATGGAACCTTAAAAAACCCCAAGACAAAACACTGGCATGTAGTTCTTACCTTCCACCCGAATCTTGAAGACCAGCTTTTCATTCCCAACTTCACAGGTATATTCTCCAGCATCCTTCTTCTCCACGTTCTCCAGCACCAGCTGACGGCTCTTGCCCTTTGACTCCATGTGGACAGTCTTACTGGAGCTCAACTGCTTGCCATCCTTAAACCATTTCACCTCAGTTTTGGCATCAGAAACTTCACAGCTCAGTGTGGCCCTCTGGGAAGTTGAAACCTTCACCTCTTTCTGATAAGAGTCTTTGTTGGAGAAAGCAGCCTGAGTTTCTAAAAAGGACATTCATTCTTTTAGTGAAACATAAAAAAATATGTAGTTCTGCACTGCAAAAAGATCTCAAACATCTCCAAAATGGACAAAAACACACTGGATTAATAATAAATGTTATGTGCAAATTTCAACAACCTCTAAGGGATTGTTTCCCAGAAAATAATCTAGAATTTTTTGTATTCAAGGTTAGATTTTGAGACTGCAAACAATACTTCTTGGAAAGAGCTGTACCTTCAAAGGACCATTGCTGTCCACAGTAAGATCTGACAATGGTATGATAAATGACATGCTAAACTTTAATATAACTTATACAAGGCTGGTATAACTTTTAATTTCACTTATTAAATAATTTATTAGCTGTAGGAGCATTTAGCGTTTAGCTTCACTGTTCAAAAAACCATAAAGTTATGACATTAATTAGGTATTGTGGCATGTCTGATTAATCCTGCTCATTTAAATTTTTAGTTTAAGACTAATTAGCGCATAGTCTTACCTTTTATCTTGACCAGGAATGTCATTTTGTCCTCTGCCGTCTCACACGAGTAGTGTCCTTCATCGCTCTGCTTGGCACCCCTGATGACCAGCTTCCTTTGTGTCCCTTGAGACATAAAAATTGTCCTCTTGTCCTCCGTTATTTCTATCTGTTCTTTCTTCCACACAACAGCGGTTCCAGGAGAAGCAACCTCACAGCTCAACACCACGTCACCCACCAGAGCGCCACTCTCCTGGGGCTGAGCCCTCGGCTTGTTAACAAACTTAGTTGGTTCTTCTGTTAGGGTAAAATGTAGGATTAGATGCCATAATGCCATACCTCTCTGTAATTTTAACATGATTATGAATATGAACTGGATTATAGAAAACATATCAAACATGGCAAGAAACAGTCACATCCACTGTCCATTTGAATATAACAGATGTCTTGTGACACAAAAAAACCCCGAACAAACAGATGTGACAATTGAAACTCTCCTGATTTATGTACCGTATTTTCCGCACTATACGGCGCACCGAATTATAAGGCGCACCTTCAATGAATTACCTATTTTAGAACATTTTTCATATATAGGGCGCACCAGATTATAAGGTGCATAAGATACTGCAGTCAAATTTATATGTATATTAAATATGAGTTTGCATTGATTATGTTAGTCATTTGAATGGAAAAATAATATAAAATGCTGATGTAAAAAAAAATATTGGTTACCATATGGTAAAAAATTAATATTTATATTTAAATAATGTAATGCAGGTAATTCTACTGTAAAATACTTTAAACGTTGTTTTTATGCCTTTATGTGAGGGAGTTGCATTAAAACTGCATGTTCTGATGATTTAATGTAGCCTAAATCATAACTGCTTCATAAGCTTTGACATTGAATGACTCATACTGGATGTTTTTTTGGGCTCACTTGAGGCAAATGTTCCCATAAAAGTTTTTAACGAGTGTATGAGCTTAAACGTGTTTTTGACATATTCTTCAATATTTGTATAAATATGCCCGTTTACCTATTTAAATGTGTATTTTTAACGTAGCCCACTATTTTAACCAGGTTAAGGGGTTATTTCAATGGTTGGAAGACAGTCGATCCGTATGGATGGCATTGGTTCTGTGACAGTTATGGATGACAGTCCCGCATCTACCAATTGCTTAAATATTATGTTCCCAAAATGTTATAATAAATATAGTTATTAAAATTGTTTTGTTAAGTATGATATCAGTATCATATTAAATTATTTCCAAAAATCAAGCTAAATCAAATATAAATTGTACATCCTGTTTAGCAAAATGTTGTATTCTAATAGTTTTATATATACAGTAGTGTCTTAAATAGCATTGTGAGTACATCATAAATACTCATCTCACCCCAAAGCATATTTAATATTTGATACCTGAGAGTGTATGAGTGCTAAGCAGAAGTGTTAAAACACATCTTCTAACACTTCCTTTTGAGAAGCTTGAGCCCAGCTGTTCCTAGCTGTCAACACTGATCGCTTGCACCATTTATCCAATCAGAAATCTCTGTACTAAGCTGGGATATACAAAGCACTGACTACTCAGCAATGACTTTAATTCTTGGGAAATTCCTAAATAGTACACTGCAAGCAGCACGCACTTCAATTTAAAATTGTTCCATTTTTATATATGTAAATAATTGTATGTATAATTAATATAATTTTAAGCTTGAAATATATATATAGAGGCTAAAACAGAAATAGAGGCTAGTTGGAAATAGAGGCTATAAAAAGTTTAAAGTAACTGAAGATCAGTAAGTGAAGAGAAAAATTGCATGTTTCACCTTTAAGGGTAAGTTGGACAGACATTTTATCGCCATCACACATGCATTCATAAATGCCCACGTCCTCAAGGTCCACGTTGTGGACTGTCAGTATGCGTTTGCGCTCCACACTTTTGGCTTCATATTTTTTACCCATCCTCAGCTCCTTCCCATTTTTCATCCAAACAACCTGCAGCACAGACAGTACATGTAGTTAATTGTCAAAAAGAAAAAATGTCTTATTACCCATCATGTCATTGTCCACACATCTATTACTGTAGATATTTGTAAGGGCAATGCATCTCAAAGTCAACTGTGCCACTGGTTGGACAATACCATTTAAACTCGTAAAAAAAACGTAAAATGCTTAATGTCTATTTAAACATTTTATTTGGATTTTGCAAGACGTGCATTTTGTCACCTGGACACTTGAATCGGACACTTCTGTGTGCATCTGAGCAGAGGAGTGCATGCTGAAAGTAAATACCTCAACCTGAGAAGACTTACTGGTGAAACGTGAAGGTGCAGCTAAAGAACATCAAGAAGAAAAAAAAAAATCAGGACTATTGTTGAAGTTATTGTACTTTAGTTTTCAGAAACTGTTCCTTTCTTACCTTTCACAGTAAGCGTGCAAACGCTTTGAGATCCGCCACCCACAAACTTGACCTGTGCCCCGTTCAGCTCCATGGACACCTCCCTGATGACCAGCGTGTGTGTGGTCTTTGAGCGTGTGATCAGATACTCAGATCCACTGCGGATCATTCGGTCATTTATGGTCCAGGAGCCAGAACATACACTCGAGAGCTCCACAGTGAAGGTGGCTTCTTCGTCTGCATGTGCACTGCAGCTCACCAGGCCTGTCTTCACTGACGCTGTGGGCTCTGATCAAACAAATTCCAAAATACTTATTGGAATATACTGATTTATGTAACTTTATATTGTTTTATACACTGCCCAGCCAAAAAAAAGAATGCTTGAATTACAGAATGCTTGAATTGCATTGTCAATACAAGATCTTGACCAAAAAACGGATGCACCTATTGATGGAAATAAATGTGCCAATTCATGTTTGCTAATGATTGTCCATTCTTTCACAATTTGAGCCTGATTAATCTTGACATTGTCATCCTGGAATATGGCCACGATGTGCCTTCCTACAGGGTTGTTTAAGAAGTGAAAAGCTACACACTCCATCAATTAGGGTTAAAAGAACTGTTCCCAAACATATAACATGATAGATCCATAATAATCACTGCAATAATGATCCAATCATAGACTCTTAAGCATTTGCCTATTTAAATCCAAACAGCGCCAGGGCAGTGTATTTTATGAATGTCCACAGCAAACAACAAAGCCTTTCTCACCAAGATAAAATGTTCCAGGAACCTCCAAGTAGGCACTCTGACCGAAATCATTGACCGCTGAGATACGGAACTGATAGCTTGCCTCCTCTGAGATTTCGCTGAAGGTATATTCAGTGCTAGACACAGTCGTGCTAGTGACTTTAACCCAGGTTTGGGCTCCAACCTTCCTGCGCTCCAAGAAGTAGCCGGTGATGGGCACAGGCCGCTCACTGTCCGGTGGAGACCAGCACAGTGTGATCGATGAATCTGTTTTGTTCCGCACCGTTGGTTCAACTGGGGGATCTGGAGGGTGTTTCCTCGGTGCTGAGGTCAAAGTTTAAATTATTGTTAATAAGGTTAAAGAAAAAGAATCTCTCTACTGTAAATGTCACAAGCAATTGTGTTGAATAGTTTCCACTCATACTCCATCAAAGAATTGGAGTACGAATACCATCACATACAGTAGTAGCTGTAGTGTCATACAATTTGACGTGATTCCTGTGGCAGATATGAGGTTTTTGAATCACAAGAATGCAAAAAACCTCTTGCAAAATCTTTTGGAAAGGTAGTGGTCTGATTGACAAATGTATTCACCTGTGACAGAGAAGCGGGTGGAGGTCTTACAGTCATGGGCGATGAAGGCCACCTCGCCGGAGTCCTCCGCGGTACATTCACGAATGGTCAGTGTGTACTGTCTGTTAATGTGGGCGATAATAATTCGAGAGTCCTCTTTCAGCTTCTCCCCATTTCTGGTCCAGTATGCATCATCTACTGGTTTCTCCAGCTCCACACAGAAGATCACAGTATCGCTAACCGGCACCACTGTCCTCCTCGGCAGCTTTTTAGTGATATTGCCTGAAAATGCAGAAAAAACATCACATGAAGACAAAGTGATCCATCATCATTCAAGCTAACTAAATAAACCATATTGGAATGGAGGTGATAGGCTTTCTCTCAAAGATTTTACCCAGCACTGTAAGTTCGGCCACGGTGCGACTGCCTTCCTTCATCTCACAGATATAGACGGCATCATCGTTGGTGGTGACATTGTGAATAGTGAGGCGGCGCAGGGTACCCTCCACATCCATGCGGTACTTGGTGCATTCCTCCAGACGGGTCTCCTCCATAAACCAGTTAGCCTTTGTATTCGACACTGGTACCTCACACTGCAGTGTTGCCGTTTCCTTTTCCTTCACCTCAACATCCTGCAGCTTTCTCTTGAATGGAATTTTTGGCTCTGGCAAGGACATGTTGAATATAGTGAATATACAGAAGACATACACAGTAAGTTCTTTTTAGCTGGCAGTCATAATTTGGTTCCATGTGGTTTCATATTGATTAGGTCTCCAGGAAGACAATGATAACTGTTAGGGTGGTTCCATATATAGTACTATTAAAATGCACCAAACTTCGTTAAAAGTTCAACGTTCATTTAAAAGTGAACCAGAATGGGAGAATGCTGCAAGGGACCACAGTGCTTTTGGTGTTCATAATGTATGTGAACTTAAAAGTGGATCACAAATGTACCGATAAATTAACCACATTGTTTGTGGGTCTTTTTAGGTGGGCCTGAGATTATTTGGGGTGTTTACATCATGAATACACATTATTTCGGCGAAAGACCACTTAAGAGTGCCTCAAATGAACTAGGTGTAATAACGTCTTAAACAGGTGACATCAGCAATGAATACGTCTAAAAATAAAGCTGGCCATCAAATTAAATAAATACATTTACATTTTTATGACTTTATATGATGTTTAATATGTTTTTCTAATTATGTCATCTGAAATTTGAACATGTTTACACAAAAACAGCCTTAAATGTCATGAACTTCACTCTCCCAATCCCTACATAGAGGCGTCACTGCTTTTTGTACTGCAATGGTGGACTGGCATTCGGCTACGTTTCTGTGACCTTTCTCTAAGGTGCCTGTGGCATGAGAGTCGAGATTAAGACCAAGGAGCAAGGTAGCAAAATACTATTGCTACACTTCTGGCTAAAATTAGAACTTTGTGTAAACGTTTGCATCTATGAAAATCATTGTCTTAATGTAGGCTTAGTTAACACAGAATTTGGATACAGATCAATGTTTCAAATCCTGAAGACATCACTTGGAAAGTCACCCACATAATGGTGTCAGAAGTGAGTTTGCAACTAGCCATCACAACAACTGTGAACTAATCATCACCAGCAGAAAATAGTTGTAATGCTACACCCTGTTCGAACACTTGCAAGCACTTTGCTAAGCAGAGAATGAGCTGGAAGGCAAAGATGACTGTCATTAGTTGATAAAATTTCAGTTTAAAGGTTGGTGGTTCAATAGGGCCAACTGTATTTTAACACGGTAGTTATTGTGCTGATGTAGAGCTGCTATCTGCCAGACTCTATAAAATAATGATACTCACCGACTCATACTTGATTTTGTAAACCACTGTACTTGTGTAGTTCTAAAGGGAAACTTTCATCATGATTGCACTTTTATTTTGAACTCAAGATGTATTCTGTGACATAACTAAGGGGGATTTACACAGTTAGCCTGGCGCCTAGCAGATTCATTTCAATACTCTCCTCCCATAAATTTTGAATCTGAAAGGGAAACTCCTACAAATGTGTATGCAACAAGGTCAGCCGCAAAAATAAATCTGTCCACACCTTTTCAGCGCCAATTTTTTCACTGCGTGCCTTTAGTAAATCCTGACAGTAGTTTTTTTATGCCAAAAGAGGGTTTGCGCTGGAGCAAGATCTTAGTAAATTTGGCCTTTTGTCACTTACTGATTGGCTATAGCTTTAGGAAAAGACCACCTCAGCTAAGTATGAATGCATCTGGTTGTTCAAGCCACTAATGAAAAAAGTTGCTTCCCCCAGAAAGGACTATGTCAGCGTATGGAAGTTTGCAAGCCTCAAACAATAGACAAAAAGGTTTTTATGGCCTAGCATCATCTTGTAAAAATCTAAGTTTAAACAGAATGCACTGTAAATACTCAATCTACTAGCAAATAAGATGCATAAATTGACCAAATATATATACCTCCAGACATTATTCTTACCTTTGACAATCACTAGCACAGCACTATAGGTTTGTCCAGCCATGTTGGATGCATTGCAGGTGTATAGCCCATTATCGGTCTGTTTGCAGTAGAGCACCTTGAGGATGAAATTCTCAGCCTGGTCCTCATACATAACATGTCTGCGGCCCTCGCTGATGTTCCCCCCATCCTTCCTCCAGATGATCTGAGGTTTGGGATGGCCTGTGACGAAACAGCTAAGCTTTGCATGTTTACCCTCGGTCACAGTGCATGTTCGGGTAAACACACCTTTGGGCAACATGCTGGTTAAGGCCGAAACCCTCTGCTCCTGATCAAGTTCCTCTGTGATCTTGGAAGATGATGTTGAGGAACTTTCCATGGTGCGGTAGAAAGAGATATCCTTCCGCATCTCTTCTTTCCGCTTCTGCATTTGCGAGAGGAGGGATGTGCTCTTGTCTACATTCAGGAGACGAGTATCTTGAAGGTCCACCACCAGGGTGGCAGCGGACTGAGAGCGGCCCATGGAGTTCTGCACACGGCAGGTGTAGGTACCACTGTCCAAGCTCCTGACGCTCTGGATCCTCAAGGAGCTGGATTCATTTTCCGAGGTTACCTTGATGCGGTTGGTCTCACCCAGGTAGCGGCCATCCTTTTCCCAGTCAAAGTTAGGTGCTGGATGGGCTGCCACACGACAATAGAAGGTAACATCACCCCCTAGACCCACACGGGTGGAAACAGGCTTCACTGTAAACACTGGAGCACGATCTACCACAGTTTCCGGCAATCCCACCTTCAGGGTCACAGCTGCATATGCCTCTCCGACATTGTTCTTGGCACGACACATGTACTGACCGCTGTCTTCTAGAGTTAGATCGTAGATGGTAAGTCGGTAAACGTCACCATCATCGACTGTTTTGAAGCGTCCCCCTGCAGAAAGACGCAGTTTTTCTTTCTCCCAGGTTACTACAGGTACAGGGTTTCCCACAATAGTGCAACTGAGGGAGGCGTCTCGTCCCACACTCAGCGAGAAGGCCTTGGGTCGAGTTAGGAAGCGTGGAGCCCCACCAAATAGATTCTGATCCATTACTGCTTTCTGTAGAGATGAAACAACACACTTTAATAAAAGTACACGTTGTGGTTAATGTATAGAGGAGAAACATAAGAACTGGAGATTATAAAGTTTTACATATTTGCACCCTGTCACCATTATATCTTGCTAGCCAACTCCAGAATGTTTCTGGAAAGCTGCTCCTGAAATTATTATACTGTAAGTCAGTTTGTATAATCTGCTAATGACAAATAAGCATGTCAAGGATCCTGAAATAGATAGTTTGAGACATGAGAGATGCCTACTTTTAGAGATGCTCACTCAAAGCTCTCCTGTTTCCAAATAAGTATAGATAATAGTAGATTGAATGACTAGAGTCTAGTATAAACCTCGTTAAAAGGGTTTAAAACAAGTATGGCCTTTTTGAGAATCCAACTTTTTCTATGCATCTGTCAGGTGACACTACACAAGCATCCACATGATATACGGTAATAATGCCACAGTGTTACATAAGAACACTTTCATGCATGCAAGTTCAACACAAATGTTTTGGTGTACAGTAATATATAGATGACCTCAAAGCAAATGGACAAGGATTAAAAACCACAAACCATGGAAAATTTACATTGTCCACTTTTGACAGAACTTTACACAGAATAACAAATGCAAAAGGACCTGGGGAATCATATATCAAACTCAAATACTCATATTGACCTACATCTTTAAAAAAAGGTCAACAATTCACATCTACTACCTCCAACAGAACAGTGGCTAATCTAGTGAAATCTGACCACAGAAAGTCAGTTTTACTGATGAGATGAAATCCCAGTATTATAAAATTAAACAAAAGGATGTTGATCTTTGAAAAGCATGACATTCGCCATCTCTGACACCTCACTACCCTAAGCTGCCTGTCCCAAAAATAACCTCAGCTGTCGGGCTCTGTCTGCAGTATGTCCATTTGTAGAAGAGATCCGACCTGCTGTGTGATAGGACATGTATGTTTTTGTCAATGGCATTTCTTCTGTACTATAAATTTAGTTTCAAAGAGCGACAGGCGTTTTCGTCTGGGTGGATCTCTCTTTAACAAAAAAAAAAAAAAAAAAAAAATTGAAATCTTTTTCACAATTAAAACAATGTAGGCTAATGTTTAAATTTTAGACGTGATGCGCCAAAAATAGACTAATAACGAAACGTAATTAATTCAAACTTGTTGAATTTGCGACTTTTCTCTATGAAATAATAACAAAACGGGAGTGAAGTCTTCCCTCAGATTAAAAGTTTTCACCTTTCAGAATTTCGTAAAAACTAAAAAAAAACTCTTACCTTTTTTCTCCTCAAGCTAGATGGTATACGGTGCAGATGTTCATAAGTATCCGATATTGGCAAGCGAAAATATCCGCGTGAAAACAGGTAAATTCCGTGAACTGTAGAGGAGGAGGACAGTGTGTTTTATCCCCCAGTGTCTTTGCTTTCTGTGTGACGCTCTTCTTTCTGTCCAACCTCTCGTTCAAAATAGATCCGTCACTTACCGGAGCAAATGTCTGACTGAGGTGAAGTAACTGTTATTGTTGAACAGAATCACGCGCAACCTGTATGGCAATCCGGTTTGAACAGTTTGGACAGTCTCTCTAGTTTTAAAAAGCTATTGTTTTAGGTACTTTATTCAGTAACAAACTGCGCGCATTATTACATTCGATGGGCTCAATGTATTACTAGCTATTGCAGTAGATAATTCTGACTAGGTCAAAAGTGACAAGCAGGATATATATATAGGGGTGAATTCAGTTTGATTGGGACACTTTGTCCAAGTCATTTTATTGGCAAAAAGTGTTCCAATTAACCTGTAAGAAAAAAAAAAAAAATCTATATAGGGTGATTTCAGGTTAATTGGGATCCTTTTTGCCATTGAAATGACTGGGAAAGTGTCCCAATCAAACTGAATATATTATATATACAGCCATTATAGTCATTTAAAGAAATATAAAAAAAACTAACAGCATTTATTTAAAAATAGTAATCTTTTGTAACAATATACACTACCGTTCAAATGTTTGGTCAGTAATTTTTCTTTCTTTTTTTTTTTTGTAAGAAATTAATACTTTTATTTATGATGTGTTAAATTGATAAAAAGGGATAGTAAAGATTTATATTGTTAGATAAGATTTCTATTTTGAATAAATGCTGTTCTTTTTAACCTTTTATTCATCAAAGAATCCTGAAAAAAGTATCACAGTTTCCAAAAAAAGTATGAAGCAGCACAACTGTTTCCAACACTGATAATAAGTTGAGTATCAAATCAGCATATTAGAATGATTTCTGAAGGATCATGTGACATTGAAGACTGGAGTAATGGCTGATGGAAATTCAGCTTTGCATCACAGAAATAAATTACATTTTAAAGTATAATAAAATAGAAAAAACATGATTTTAAATTGTAATATATATATATATATATATATATATATATATATATATATATATGCCTTATCCTTTACCCTTATGTTAATATATATATATCCTTTTCCTTTATTAACTTATATTTGAACAATACTGCGAATTCAAGCAGCCCAGTTTTAAGGCCAATCAAATTTCAAGATTCAATTCACCTCAGTTCATTAAAAAAATTTAAGTTCTGATTAATCTGAACTAGTTCATTGCTCAATTTACTAATAATGGACACTCTCACAAACCCTTGTGACGATTTGGTTATTCCTCTACTGTTGTCTCATATTTTCCTGAAAGGATAGTGGGTCTTTCCCGTTATCTGTTCCAGTGTGCCTGTTGATTGACAGCAGCAGATAGGCTGTGCTCACATTTAAAACTGCCTGAAACTCAAGCAGTGGGATCAGTCGAACTCTTTGGTGGTAGGGATCATTTTGCTTTTGCTAAATGTCTGGTTATGCCATGTTTCTTCATGGAAGAACTAGTTCTGTTTAAACTCTATAACTACTTTACGTGTTCTCCTGCATGGCGACAGATAGATTCCATCTTGCTGCAAGCCCCTTAAGATAAAAACAGTTCACTGTGGCCAGAGGATGTAAAGTATGCAATATATATACAGAATACTATAAATACATAATAACAGAAGTTGTTTCTAAACATATAAAGTGAGAAAGTTTGCTAATTTTAACTCTCAGCCAAATATATAGTGTTTTAGCAACAAGATATAGTGGGGATGTGGAATGGTACCTTTTTTCACCATCTCCTGTACTTCCTCCAAACCTCCCATGCCTTTGCGGATAGATGTGCTAAATACTTCTGTCTCAGTATTCAAATTCATAATAATGCATTTGAGACTTTTTTCTTTAAGTATTCACTGCCCAAATTAATTAATGCAGTATGTATTAGGAAAGAGAGCTAGTTAATATTTGAACTCTGAGATTAATAAACTCATGCAATATTACTGATGGGTTTGAATTGTTATTCAGCTCCGTGGCTGGAAAATGTTGGCCCTCTAATGGTCAGGCAGAGAAATTGCACTTTTTTTGTAGCAAACACTAGAAGTACATTAAAAACACATATGACCAAAATCAACATTAAGACATTTGTGTGGCCATTAATAGTTTATTATCAGTCATGTTTATAAAATATTTAATATTTATAAAATATATATTTGAAATACATTCTATAGGCATCTTTTCTCAAATTATTTTTGAAATACTCTTAAATGTTCTTCATTACAGCAATCCCTTTTTTTGTTGCAAATCCATTTGGCAAGAAACAACCAATAAAGGTTGAATGAAGCAGCATATACTTGCATAACAACATCATCAACAACAAAAACCTTTGTCTATCTAACCAGTGTTATGTATCAAAAAAAAAGTCAAAAACAGCATACAAAGACAGTATACGGTCAAGTAAACATTACAACATAGATTTCTCTAGGGTCTCAAGGATGAATGCACCCACAACCATAACCCGGACCAATATCTTCTCATTATAGTGTAAGTCTGAAGTTTCACGCCTCTCTGAGTTTGGTGAGCTCCCATTGGCCACCTCCACACAGTCGCAGCATGACATCATGATGCTGTTTAAAGAGCACACATAAAAAAAAAATCTATGCACAGGCCATACAAAAGTTCACAGTAATGTTTGTGGTGTTGTGTTGGTGAATGTGAAAAGGTCACATATTGTCACCTTTTCCAGAGTGCTTCGGTGACCCAGACTGATGAGGGTCATTCCCAGCTGCTTACAGGCCTTATAGAGCTGACCCTCGGCCTCCTCCGTCAGAGCGCTCGTGGCCTCATCCAGTACTAAATCAAACTGCATGTTTTACTCACGACACAGGTCACATGAATGGGACTAATCAGACTGATTATAGCTATTAAAACTACAGGAAATCTGACGAGACTATGCAGGAACTGACCTGCATATTTGGGCTGCAAGTAAAACAGTCTAGCAAAGCAAAGCCTCTGCATTTCTCCTGGTGATAAAACATCATACCTGTAAAAAAAGAATTAGGAAATACCATTGTTATGGTCTTAAAACACCCACATTTTTCATATGCAGATATTAAAACTCATTTCTCACCAGTTCCAGTTCACTTGTGTATCCAATCCTCCGATTCTGGTAAGAAGATTCGACTGACATACAAAACACACAAAAACATGCTGCTTACAAAACAGCTTTAAAAGACAGAAAGTTATAAAGAGGAAGATCAGTCTTACCAAACCAACAAGTTCCAGGTATTTTAATATTCTTTCATCATCTATAGACCCTAGAAGAAAGAATTTATATCGGTTGAAAGTGTGAAATGTGATCATAATCTACATTTACAACACCAGAAGTGTGTAGTTTAATTGGCTCACAAACGTCTTCTAGATCTTGATAAGTTTGCATTGGCTTATATAATAAGGCAAGTTTATTTATATAACACATTTCATACACAAAGTACATTACATGCATATATTTGAGCTATATAATTTAAATAATGCATATCATTAGTAGGTTAATCTGTACCTGAGGAAGGATATATATCATTTAATGGATAGATAACCTACAAGGGAAAGACAGCAAATTAGTGTCACTATCAAAATGACATAAGCACATTATTGTACTCAATAATTGTTTTTACTAACAAAATTATATGTAGATTTCTGCATAATTGGTGGCATCAAATGTTTTTTCTTGTCTCACCTGTTCTCTGAGAGTGCCATCAGTAAGATATGCTTTCTGTGGCAGGAAGAGCAAACCCCTCGGCCCAAAACACGTGGTCATCTCCACAGAACCTGAGAAACAGGAAAGCAGTATGTTTCAACGATGAACATTTGTTCATCTGCATCTGATCATTTTATCTTCTGTCATCTCTGTCGTGTACCACTGCATGGTTCCCACAGGCCGTTGAGGACCCTCAGTAGGGAGGTCTTCCCTGTTCCCGTGTTTCCCACCACGAGCAGGTGCATTCCTTGACTAATCTCTAGGGTCAGATCCTTCACCAGCAGCTCCTCTGATCTGGGTGATTTATAGGAGAGACGATCCAGAACAAACGCCGTGTCTGCTGGGACACTTTGAAGCTCTCGATCACTGATGAAGAATTATCATAATTTTTAGCAAGATCGTGACAATAATAACTAGAAAGTAATGTTCATTGGAACAAACTTTTTTTGCTTGCATGTTTGTAGCAGATTTAAATACATTGCTAGCATGAAATAACACGTTGCTTACACGTTTTACTACATTGCTAACAATAATTAGCATGTTGCTAACATGTTTTAACACATTGCTAATATGAATAAGCAAGTTGCTAACATGTTTAGCTCAATGCTAACATGAATTAGCAAGTTACTAACATGTTTTAACACGTTGCAAACAAGAATTAGCATGTTGCTAGCATGTTTTAACACATTGCTAACATGAATGAACACATTGCTAGAATGAATTAGCATGGATTAACGCATTTATACACAAAGATATAGCATTTACTGTGCAAAATTGTTGTTGTTAACTAAAACCATAAAAATGTTTAATTTACAATGAAAACAGAAAATCTAAAAATAGAATCAAAATATTCCCAACTGGGTAACACTTTACTTGAAGGGGTGTGCATAAGACTGACATGACACCTTCATAACCATGACATGACATATGTCATGAATATGAAGTAGGGTTTATGCATGTTTATGACAACTGTCTTTAAGTGTCTTTCGCTCAATTATGACATTTTGAATGCAAATATGACATTGTTTAAGATGTCTTTGTTATGACATCTTGACATAAACCATAACATCATAACCTGTCAGTGTCTTTGTCATGAAAACCTCCTTCATATTCATAACATGTGTCATGTCATGATTATGAAGGTGTCATGTTAGTCTTATGCACACCCCTTCAAGTAAAGTGTTACCACAAAGGGTAATAGTATATCATTGATACTAAAATAACACTGCTCATTCTGGACTACCAGAACTATTTTAGATCTGTGTTAGATCTTGGTTTTGAGTCTTGAAATGATGTGAACAAAACGAAACAACTTCCAATTTACCCGTTTCAATTTCAATCATTCAATTACCTGTCAGATTCATCCTTTGACAGCGGATCATACCGCTCATAGTCACACTGTTTCTTGGCAATGTCTGCCATCGCTTCCCGCAATTCTCCAATTCTGGAACCAACAGAAAGATAAAGCAGACTATTTTTTAGCAAACCAATAAGCAGTCATAACATTTATGCACAATAAAATGTGCAGTTTTAAGCAATCTTAGAGCATCTCACCTGTGCGTGTATCCAGCGACATCAGACACGGTGGTTGAGAGATCTATGAGCTGGGTGAAGCAGTTTATCAGATAGATACAGACGAAAGCATTCTGAAAGAGACACGTGACGTGGTTAACATTGTGGACAGCTGAGATTCACTCAGAGTAAAGCACTTGTTTTTGTCTTAAAGGCACGGTAGGCGATTAGTTACAGAAACTTTTTTGTTATGCTGGTTGAAAGTCTCTTCACATTCTGATAGCAATCACTAAGTTAAGTGGTCTAAATGTATTTATATGTATACATATCGTCTGTTGAAGGCATAGGACCATAAAATGTTCGTCCAATCATTGCATTTAGACCTGCATGTCAATGTATGTATTTTCATACCTTGCTCACGCAAACATCACACGTCATCAGATTGTTTCATGCTATGCGGAGTTAGGGGCCGTTCACACAGAACGCGTTTTTTCGATTCCACTGCGCTGCTTTTCCATTATTTTTCAATGTAAACACGCGCTAGACGGACATGTAGGACTGTTGCGCTCGCGTCTTTTGCTGCGTCTCGCGCATGACACGGCATTCTAAAAATGTGGCGCTCAAGTTAATAGTTCAGCTTTTAAAGGGATAGTTCGGCCAAAAATGATATTTAAACCATGCATTACTCACCCTCAAGCCGTTCGAGATGCATATGTCAATCTTGTTTCAGACGAGCACATTTTCAGTTATTTTAGAAAATGTCTTAGACCCTTCAGTGGATATAATGTGAAGCAATGGGGTCCACTTCCTTTAAGTCCCAAAATGTGCATATATCCGTCACAGAAGTAATCCATCCGGCTCCAGGGGGATAAACGAAGGCCTTATGAGGGTAATCCGTGCGGTTTTGTCGTAAAAATATACATATTTAAAACTTTATAAATGAAAATATCTGACTTCCGGCAACGATCGACGCGCGTTCACGGGTGATGTTTTGCTCTGCTCTCTGCATAGCTCTCTGGCTGCGCGGGCGCGTTCGTTCTACGTCACGACGCTACGTCCTACCTCGTATGCCGACTTCCATCACCCGTGGACGCGCGTCGATCGTTGCCGGAAGTCAGATATTTTCATTTATAAAGTTTTAAATATGTATATTTTTACGACAAAACCGCACGGATTACCCTCATAAGGCCTTCGTTTATCCCCCTGGAGCCGGATGGATTACTTTTGTGAAGGATATATGCACATTTTGGGACTTGAAGGAGGTGGACCCCATTGCTTCACATTATATCCACTGAAGGGTCTAAGACATTTTCTAAAATAACTGAAAATGTGTTCGTCTGAAACAAGATTGACATATGCATCTCGAACGGCTTGAGAGTGAGTAATGCATGGTTTAAATATCATTTTTGGCCGAACTATCCCTTTAAAACGACGTTTTCGACGTCTCGAGACGTTTTTTCCCCATTCCACTGCCCAAGTCTCGTGTTTTTCAAAGCAAAAACGTGTTCTGTGTGAATGGCCCCTTAGACAGACGTCAGTCACCGAGCACCGCAAACGAAACAGCAGCCACCTTTTACAGTTCCTCCTGAACCAAAACAACGAGCTTATCCTGCATTCACACCATAACTACTGTAATCTGGAAGAGATGGAAACCTGTGACATTATACACGGTTCGTGACTCGAATTAATGCGTTTCAATGGCAACACTATCAACGCCGAAATGCAGAGCAGTCAGGTGGTACAGGTCAGACCTCTTTAAGTTGTTTATGTGTATTATTATAGTAATGTTATGCGTTTCATGTGGTCATGTGTTTTGAAGGAGGCGTGGCTTGTTCTGAAGGGAGGGTGAGATCTTATGCTTTCAAAGCTAGCTCGCTATTGCTAGCCTCTCCGAAAATTGCCTACTCTACTGTACCTTTCATTTTCAGCCACATTAAATACAGTTTGAAGGAACTCACCTTGCTGACAAGAGCACTCAGTTCTCCAGGTGTCAGGCCGTCATAATGTCCAGCAAAGATGGGGATCGCGATGACTATATAGCTGAGGATACTGCCCAGATAGTCAAAGGTGTTTACCCCAACTTTAAAGAAGCAAAACAATAAGCATTTGTAGAGAACAGAACAGAAAGCCAGCATTATTTTAAAATAGGTTGATAAGGTGGCTTAATGCCTGCAAAATGACACTTTTTGGCTGAAAACGGTTCAGAGTTAAATGCATGAAATGAGATTTTTCTTATTTTCAGTAACAATAGTGAGGAATATTGCACATTTTATATATATACACACTGTTCAATCTTCTAAATGCTGCCTTACTGTAAAGCCAGAGCTCTTTGTTCATCAGGCTTCTCTGAGTGGATAAGAGCATCTGCAGCCTTTGGTCGGTCCGCATGTGTTCCACCTTCCCTGCCCTGATCAAAAACACAACAAATGCTCTCCTGCTCTGTGACTTGATAGTATGTGAGAGAAATATAGTGATCAATGCAGGCAGAAATACTAAAAGTGCACACTAACCTGTAGAAGGCGGCAGATTCTGCGCTCACTCTTATTTGCATGTGTTTAAACCTGGAAAGAGATGAGCTGAAATACTGCTGCATTCATTCAAAGAAAACGATCAGATAGCAATGGCAATTATTAATATGTGCCGTCTGCTTTAGCATCTCTGAATGACTGTCATTTATATTTCTCTTGTTTTGTATAGGTCTACCTAAAATCTCCCTCCAGCTTTTCTTGCTCAACCAGCATGGACACGATGGGTCCTATCAAGATCTTGTTGACGATGGTTCCAGCCACAAAGTAGCCGAAGATGCTAACAAATCCAATCCAGCCCGCACTACAGCACCAAAAAGGTAAGAAAAAGTTATCCTATCAAATCTTTCAATGCAAAACTAGAGGGATGAAAAGATACAAGAGTATTTAGTAGCACTTTGCTTAAAGCCTTTATGTATAATGCATTATAAAGGTATTGATATGTACGATATTAATGCATTATATCTTTACATAAATAATTGTAACCAAAGTTACATGCATACATCTGAAATTTCATGTGATTTAATGCATTATACTTTCTAAATGAGTAACAATGAATATATAAGTTTTGGAATGTATTATAACTGTGGTTACAATTATTCATGAGATCATACAATTCATTATTACAAAGCATAATTAATGCATTAAAAATACTTTTTAATGAATGTATTATACTAAAGGCTTTAAGTAAAGTGTCCAGAATATTTTAATGCCATTAATGGCCACTGATGATAATTAATACAGGCAAATACGATCAGATCATATATTATACAGAACACAAACACACACAAGTGCGGCAGCATCTCTCTGACCTGTTGAAGCACTGATAGCTGTAGTAGGTCACAGTGAACGGAGAGATGAGAAGTCGACTCGCCATAGTGCTCATCTGCTTACATAACCTCTCTACATCCTGACTGATGCGCTGGTCTCTTGACATGACACAAACACAAAATAAACCATTAACACATTAGATTTAATGAAGTCTTCTAAAAGGGTTAGTTATCCCTTTAAGCACTGAAGTGTAACCACATAAACAAATGTAGTGTGAATACATTACGGGTTGTCGATGTCTTTGCACAGTATGTTGAGGGTGTAGTAAACGCGTCGCTTGAAGTATGTGTTATGGATTTCTTCAGTTAAAGACTTTCTCCAGCTGACATACAGCAGACTGGAGATGTACTGGTCTAGACTCTTCAGCTGAGGAACAGATATATTATCGATTAGTGATTTATTATGAATCCTTGATTGGATATTTAGCTGACACTTCTATCCAAAACAATATACAGTATACATATCACAAGTGGTGCAGTACAACCTCTTTAGCCCATCAATAATGTTGCTGCTCAATTAACCCATATTTGAGATGTTGAAGGCAGCTGCATAGACCCAAAATAAAACAATTTGGTCAGTTTCTAAATTACTCTCTGAGGTAGGGCTCAAAGGTAAACGATATCGGCATATTTTACATTATGATTAGCTCGGGATAATCTAAGAGCCTATCACACAGCAGATATAAACGCGACAACAGCCAGTCAGTGCGTGTCTCAGTGTGAATGAATGTCGTGGTTTCTGATACACAAACTCACACACGTGTGAGGCTCACGGTGTTTTCAGCATTCATGAACTTCATCTCCAGAGCTGTTTTGTTAGTCACTTCACAAGCTTTTCAATGTTACATTTGAGAAAAACTACCGTCAAATACACACTGAAAGTGTAACTAAAACTGAAAGATCTTCCCGACAAGCCGTCAAAATTGTTTGGTTTAACTTCAAGAAATTATGATAGCAATATATTCCTAAATACTAAAATGTACTTAAAGTAATAGTAATAATAATATTTATATTTCTAAGTAAAAGCAAGCAAGATATTTTTTCATTCATGTCTTAAATTTATACAGTTGTTATGCAGTGTAAATTATTTGTTATATTTTAATTTGATTACATTTTAAAAGCTTGATTAAATTGTTAAAGTTTATATAAATTTGTATTAAATCCTAAAACACATAATCCCCCAAAAGATGAAATAGAAAACACAGAATTTAGGTGAAAATAAAATGGATTTCATGGGGCCCTAAATTAAAAGGTGGAGTTTAATTGTGTAGTGTGAACAAACTATTTTAAATTCATTCTCAAGGTCTAACAAATATGTGGAAAGCATTCCCTTCCCCATTAATGGTAAATTAATATTGTGATAAATATTGTTTATGTATGATATGGAAAAAAATATTGTGACATTTGGCAGAAGTTTTTATCCGAAAAAATTTACACTGCATTGAAGTTTTTTTTTTAGTTTTTTTTTTTTTGCTATATAGTGTATATCGTTTTATGTAAGTATACAGTTCAGTATAATGTAAGTATTTCGCATTGAAGGTGTTTTATCAGTTCACCCATGTTCAGTTTGTTGGGAATAGACACCATGATCATTGCATTGACATACTCTAATATAAAAATAATACACAGATTTTTAGCATTATACAAGGGTTACAACTAGTTAGCAGATGCTGTTTCCTGAAGCGACTTGCAGAAAACTACTGTACATACAAGACCAAACTCACGGTTGAATTAACCAGGATGAGCAGAACCGCAAACACCACCAGATCTTTGAACTTCCCATAGCTCTTCTCAGACAGAACCTCGTAGAACTGACTCGGAATAAGACCCACTTGATAAATCACAAGCTGGACTAAAAGAAAAGAAAAATACATTGAAAAAGCACAGAGAGAAGACAAAAAAAAAAAAAAAATCCATTATAACCCAGTCCAGATGTTAAAAGTTTATTACCTGAAAGTGTGACTCCAAGAAGCGTCATGAACATCCGCACACTCAGGTTGGACCAGGATGGGAAGAGGATCTTCAGAATGCTGCAGAACCTTTGCAGAAACCTCCAGTCCAGCTTTGGTCTTGGGGAAAACACATCCACACAACTCAGCTAGTTACATGTAGGGCTCAAAATGTCATTACAAAAACAGCTGTATTTCTTGTATTCTATGACGTAGATATCTCATGATAGAAGATATTTAGAGATGTCAGTTCAAGTCTTACCTTTTCACACTGCTGTTCTTCATGGCTGGCATTGTGAAAGTTTGGTACAGGTATTATGAGACCTTCTGAATGTCAAATCTTCCCTTTTTTTGTTTTTGCTTATTTCAAGCTCTTACAGGGAGTTTATTGGATGCGTTTTGGGTTCAAAGTCTAAAACAGCATATGACAGCGTCTTAAACATTATTCAGTCAAATCTGACAAGCACTAACGTTAGTTATAAACAAAGTGACCCGGTCGTTTACTTTTACAATAATTGTATAAAGATTAAAATCATACGCGATCCATGATAATGATGTTGTTGCGCCGAATTAATGACACATAAATGAATGAGGTTTCTTAATTTCAAAAGTTGTTTTATATCACATGTACACAAACATTTCTTCGTCTACGTCTAGACTGCTCGAGTGCTCCGCTGCCACCTCCTGTACAGGAGAGTTACGACAGGACTGCAGAAATATAGCCATTGAAGAACATTTTAATGGATAGTTCACCCAAAAATGAAAATTCTGTCATCAATTGCTCACCCTCAAGTTATTTCAAACCTGTATGAATTTCTTTCTTCTGCTGAACACAAAAGAAGATAATTATTTTGAAGAATATGGGTAACCAAACAGTTGATGGACCCGAATGGAAGTCAATGGGGTCCATAAAAAGTTTGGTTACCCATATTCTTGAGGCTGAGTAAATGATGACAGAATTTTACATTTTTGGGTGAACTATTCCTGTAATGTAAAAAATCGCTAACAGAACTAAATATTTCTATAGCATTTGTTAATTCTGGTTCATGTTAATTTATAAATAGACTATATTCATTGTTAGCTTATCTTAATCTCCATTAATGTATACAACTTTTAATATTAAAATATAGAGAAAAATGTAGATACATTAACCAAGATCTACAGGATTTGTTAAGATATTGTTCATTGGTCAAAAACCAGGAAAGGGTGACACATTTGCCCGTTCTCATCTTCACCTCATTTCCAGTTGAATGCTGGCTGTAAAAGGCAACCATTGTACCTTTCTGATATATATATATATATATATATATATATATATATATATATATATATATATATATATATATATATATATATATATATATATATATAAATGGCCCACGTGTTTCAATCCTTGAAATGTGAGCTGCTGATTGAAACAGATCTTCAGGTCTTATCTTCAGTTTGTCACAGTACAGTCCACTTTACTGTATGTCTGCTGAAAAACACTCATGTTTTACCTGTACTTGGGCCTTAAAATAAATTCAAACATTTTATCAAACTTGTCTGATATTGTATTTAAACAAAGTTTTTCTAATCAGTAAATGAAACATTATTGCACATTGCTATGAAACAGAGAATTCTTGCAATACTGGAAACAGTTTGATATACAGTAGATTGAGGCGTTGTGTTGTTGAGGTGTAGCTCAGACAGATTATTGATCCAGAAATTCAGTTTTTATTTTCATAGACTAAATGTAAAGAACATAACAGGATTTGAGAATAAATCCTATGAGCACAAAAATGTTCCACTGCAAGCGATTATTTACAACGATGAAAAACATTCCCTTTTCTCATCTAAAGGGCCATCAAACACCAGTGCAACAGATTCAGATTTCAGATCACGTCTCAGAGAAACCAATCAGGCCAATAATTTATATGATTTAAAATGTCTGATTTTATAATGGGCAATTTTCTGAAATAAAGCAGCCTGATGCTTAAAATAGGCACTGTGAGATATAAACAGATATGAACATAAACAAATATGTATCCACAGCATAACACAATAAGCTTTCCACTTTACGCCATGCATATATACCACATGGCTAAATAAATAACATACTGATTGTTCAAACAATAAATCATAACTTGTGTTTTACTGAAATGTTTTTTTTTTTTATAATTAATAACTGACATTTATTCCCCTCTCATCTGTACAAATAACAATATGCCACTTAAGTATGGCGGCAATATCAATAACAAGCAGACGTGGTGTGATATATATTAAATAGCTGATATCTACTCTACAGCGTACACAGAATCATGAGTTTTGCTTGTAAAACAAGAGTATTCCTTTGTCAACCCTCTTCAGCATCGCCTGAATCAGCGATTTCCACAAAACACAAAGTACGTATGGAAGCTATATCGATTTGGTTCCAAAAAGTATGCGTACGCTACTGTATGCCAAGTTAAGCAAAAACATTTACCATAAAAAAAGGATTGAATGTGAGCAGTTGAATGTCAACACACGTGAGCATCAAATACGCAAAGTTGATGATTATATCAGTTTAAAACTTTTAAGTATGAAAGAAACAAAGTGCTCTTGTCAGACCAGTAAAAAAATAATAATCTGTACACCTCATCACCTCCTGTTCAAAAGCTGGGGGCGTTCCGTAGGGAGAGTCACCTCATTTGTTTGATTCATTGATTCAGCGATTGACTTTCCATCCCGACAGGTTTTTCCTCTTTTTCGCCATTCTATATAGTTATTTGTTAAATGGTAAACAGGCCGGCAGTATGACTGTGGCACAGGCCGGCCCGGCTAAAGGTTCAGCCACCTCTCCTTCCATTTCTGTCCATGAGCCTTTCTCTGGGCTGTAACAAATGGTGGATGACTTGTATGCCCCCTGCAAGAGATGTTCAACTAGTTATTCTCACAAGATTTCATACTTCAAAATGCTTCTTTATGCATTTCACAGTCTTAAACAACAACAACAAAAAAAGTCATGATTTATGTTTCATACTTCAGAAGAACTACCGTTAAGGGAACATACGTAGTGAGCAACGATGCTCCTTGGTTTTCACTGTGCATTGTGGGACTTTTTAGGGAGTGAATGGCTGCGTCTGAAATAACATACTCTCTTGAGTAGGTTCTTATTTTGGACAAGTAATTACTTCACAAACGTTCTATATAGTATGAATGTGTGTAGTACAGGTCCTTCTCAAAAAATTACCATATTGTGATAAAGTTAAAGATAAAAATTTAACTTTCATATATTTTAGATTCATTGCACACCAACTGAAATATTTCAGGTCTTTTATTGTTTTAATACTGATGATTTTGGCATACAGCTCATGAAAACCCCAAATTCCTGTCTCAAAAAATTAGCATATCATGAAAAGGGTCTCTAAACGAGCTATTAACCTAATCATCTGAATCAACTAATTAACTCTAAACACCTGCAAAAGATTCCTGAGGCTTTTAGAAACTCCCAGCCTGTTTCATTACTCAAAACCGCAATCATGGGTAAGACTGCCGACCTGACTGCTGTCCAGAAGGCCATCATTGACACCCTCAAGCAAGAGGGTAAGACAGAAAGAAAGTTCTGAACAAATAGGCTGTTCCCAGAGTGCTGTATCAAGGCACCTCAGTGGGAAGTCTGTGGGAAGGAAAAAGTGTGGCAAAAAACGCTGCACAACGAGAAGAGGTGACCGGACCCTGAGGAAGATTGTGGAGAAGGACCGATTCCAGACCTTGGGGGACCTGCGGAAGCAGTGGACTGAGTCTGGAGTAGAAACATCCAGAGCCACTGTGCACAGGCGTGTGCAGGACATGGGCTACAGGTGCCGCATTCCCCAGGTCAAGCCACTTTTGAACCAGAAACAGCGGCAGAAGCGCCTGACCTGGGCTACAGAGAAGCAGCACTGGACTGTTGCTCAGTTTTGCATGTCATTCGGAAATCAAGGTGCCAGAGTCTGGAGGAAGACTGGGGAGAAGGAAATGCCAAAATGCCTGAAGTCCAGTGTCAAGTACCCACAGTCAGTGATGGTCTGGGGTGCCATGTCAGCTGCTGGTGTTGGTGCACTGTGTTTTATCAAGGGCAGGGTCAATGCAGCTAGCTATCAGGAGATTTTGAAGCACTTCATGCTTCCATCTGCTGAAAAGCTTTATGGAGATGAAGATTTCATTTTTCAGCACGACCTGGCACCTGCTCACAGTGCCAAAACCACTGGTAAATGGTTTACTGACCATGGTATTACTGTGCTCAATTGGCCTGCCAACTCTCCTGACCTGAACCCCATAGAGAATCTGTGGGATATTGTGAAGAGAAAGTTGAGAGACGCAAGACCCAACACTCTGGATGAGCTTAAGGCCGCTATCGAAGCATCCTGGGCCTCCATAACACCTCAGCAGTGCCACAGGCTGATTGCCTCCATGCCACGCCGCATTGAAGCAGTCATTTCTGCAAAAGGATTCCCGACCAAGTATTGACCATTGAGTGCATAACTGAACATAATTATTTGAAGGTTGACTTTTTTTTTTGTATTAAAAACACTTCTTTTATTGGTCGGATGAAATATGCTAATTTTTTGAGAGAGGAATTTTGGGTTTTCATGAGCTGTATGCCAAAATCATCAGTATTAAAACATGAATCTAAAATATATGAACGTTTAATTTTTATCATTACATTATGGAAAATAATGAACTTTATCACAATATGCTAATTTTTTTAGAAGGACCTGTATGTATGTAATCCGAACGTACTACATGCGCCATGTTGTCATTATTATGTGACCTACAGCGTCGCTTCACTGCCATTCACAAATCCTCTCCCGTGGCCTCATGGGATAGTAAAGTGTCCATCATATGCACACTTCAGAATCTTGCCAGAAGTAGTCGGTCATCTGGGTACTTTTTACCTACTCTTTTAGGACTGTGAATTCAGACATACTTCTTTTGTCACATACTGTTTATCGCCTACTATATATATAGTAGGGAAGTATGCGATTTCGTATGCAGCCATCGGGATTTTGTGTTTGAAACAGCCCTTAAAATGACTACTGATCAGACTGAGACCCAATGTGTAATATTTATCAGAACTCTACTTGTATTACATTTGAATTATAGGTGCATGATTCTGGATAAATTGAGAATCATGATATTTTTGGTTTCAAATGGAGATCACGATTTTCCAACGACTCTGTCCGAACAGACGACTAAACAAAATAAAATGTAATTTACTAGAGGTTCTGACAAATAATGAATTGCTTAAAATTTGTTTGAATTATTTAAAACGGTTTGAATGAATAAAACATCATCACTTGTCGCCACCTAGTGGTGAACAATGTAATCGATACAATTGTTTTTTTTAAAGCGCCAAGTTACTTACAAAAGGTGATTTGCCCCGTAGAGTAGACATCAGTGTTTCTATCCAAATCATAAACTTTTATCTCAGTACTTCTGTGATAATTTGAATTATTGTAATACAGAAATAACAATACTGTGTGGTTGAAAAGACTGTTTGTGAAGCTGTTTCATACCAACATGATAAGTGCTCTCTCTGGATCAGTGAAAGTGTGAATGTAGAACGTTCCGATACGATTTTGTCAAAGGTTTAATAGACACAGGTGAATCATGATAGTTTAGGAATTAGATTGCGTGGGTGTTTGAATGGAGATCG